CCCCAAGTCACCCAATTGGTTTTCCTGGTGAAGGCAGGAATAGAACTCACCATTGACTTGTGATTGGCCCAAAATCACCCAGCCAGCTTTCATGTCTAAGGTGGGACTAGAACTCACTGTCTCCTGGTGATTGGCCCCAAGTCACCCAATTGGCTTTCATGCCTAGGGCAGGACTAGAACTCACGGTTGTCTTGTGATTGGCCCCAAGCCACCCAATTGGCTTTCCTGGCTAAGGTGGGAATAGAACTCACCATTGACTTATGATTAGTCCAAAGTCACCCAGCTGGCTTTCATGCCTAGGGCAAGACTTGAACTCATCGTCTCCTGTTTTCTAACCTGCTGCCTTCACTACAAGGCCAAACTGGTTATGTTTTTTGACAACTGATTTAAATTGTTATGACTTTTATAAGACTTTTTTTAAAGAGGAAAATACAAAATTGTAAGAATCAAGAGATTCTTTTGTGTTATGAATGCAAAAGTTAAAACACACTATATATATATATATAAATTCACCACCATCTTGACTTTCTAAATTGGTCCAGAGTAGGGCAACCCAGGAACATTGGTTTTAAAACCAAGTTAAGTAAAGGGTTGAAAGCAATCTGAGGGAGAAAGTGGCTTAATGCGGCCAAGGATCTGGCTTGCTGTGCCAAAACACTCCGAGCCGCTTCTGCTTACAGTACACACTTTTTTTTGTGAGAGCCTTATGACTCAGTTGGGAATTGCTGGACCAATTAGTTGCTGGTGGAGTATTCTCTGTCACCAAGGGATGCACAAAAACCCCTGCTGGCAATTCATTATAAGCAAATAAACAGAAGGGCTCTGGTACGAGGTATTCCTTCAGCGTTAACCCTTTCGTCGCTCTGCGGTCCAGAAGCCGGACTGGCAGGAACCAGAGATTCAAACCCTCTTCCCAACCTGTCAAGAAATCTGTGAGCAAGTATGGGCCGGCTCGCAGGAGGAAGGGCAGAATTTGAACGGGAAGAAATGATTGTTTTCTTAGTCACTGATTCTTCCTTGCCACCTTCTAGATCGTGTTTCTCAATCTTGGAAACCTGGAAACCAGAATGCTGGGAATTGAAGGCCAGACATCTTCAAGTGGCCAAGATTGAGAACGTCTGTTTAAATTCTCATCAAAGGACTCACTTGCTAGTTTTCTTTCTTTCTTCCTTCCTTCCTCTTTCTTTTTCTTTCTTTCTTCCTCCCTCTCCTCTCCTTCCTTCTTTTTTCTTTCTTCCTTCCTTTCTTTTTCTTTCTTCCCTTTTCTTCCTTTCTTTTTTCTTTCTTTCTCTCTTCCTTTCTTTCCTTTTTTCTTTTTCTTTCTTTGTTTTCCTTCCCTCCTTCCTTTCGTTCTTTTCTTTCCTTTCTCCCTCATTCCTTTTTTCTTTTCTTCCTTCCTTCCTTTTTTCTTTTTCTTTCTTCCTTTTTTTCTTTTTCTTTCTTTCTTCCTCCCTCTCCCTCCTTTTCTTTCTTTTTCTTCCCTTTTCTTCCTTTTTTTCTTTCTCTCTTCCTTCCTTTCTTTCTTTCTTTGTTCTTTCCTTCCTTCCTTTTCTCTTTCGTTTTTTTCTTTTTCTTTCTTCCTTTCTCCCTCTCCTTCCTTCCTTCCCTTCCTTCCTTCCTTCCTTTCCATAATTTAATTTGGACATTTGGTTAAATCCCATGTATATTTTACTTCCAGCATTTCTGAAAAGAATAGCAGCCTCTGTTTACTGGCACAACTTTTACGAAGTTTGAAAGCTGGCATGAAACAGCGCTCCCAGTCATGCATACAAACTGAACTCAACGCCCCAGTGAGGATCAGACCCAGGGGTTTAATTTTCCCAAGGCCATTCACGCAGTGCTGCTGCAGTGGCGTCACCAAAGCCAGCAGCAGACTGGCAGAAACCCTGCAGGGACTCAAAAGAGAGAGCTCGGCTTTCGCTCAAAAATATGCAGCTCCCCATCCTGCTGGATTAACTTAAAGGAACTTGAGGTGGAAGGTTGTTTTGGCACAACACAAGGAAGACTAAGGGAAAGCAAACCACTGTGTCTATTTAAAAAGGAACCTTACAGGTAATCCTTGACTTACAACCACAAGTGGGACCAGGATTTTTGTTGTTAATTGAGTCACGCTCAATTTTAAGACCTTTTTTTTGCCATGGTAGTTAAGCAAATCACTGTGATTAAATAAATCACACGGTCATTAAGAAAATGCAGCTTTCCCCATTCACTATACTTATTGGGAGCTGGCTGGGAAGGTCACGAATAGCAATAGCACTTTAGACTTATATACTGCTTCACAGTGCTTTACAGCCCTCTCTAAGCGGTTTACAGAATCAGCATATTGTCCCCAACAATCTGGGCCCTCATTTTACCAACCTCAGAAGGATGGAAATTCTGAGTCAATCTTGAACCGGTCAGGATCAAACTGCTGGAAGTGAGCAGAGTTAGCCTGCAATACTGCATTCCAACCACTGTGCCATGAATAGAATAGAATAGAATGTTCTCTATTCTATTCAATTCTCTATTGTATTCTACTTTATTCTCTATTATCTTCTCTTCTCTATTCTATTCTACTCTATTTTCTATTCTCTTCTAAATTCTATTCTAACTCTTCTCTTTCTATTCTATTCTATTCTATTCTATTCTATTCTATTCTATTCTATTCTATTCTATTCTATTTCTACTCTACTCCATTCTAAATTCTATTCTAGCTTAGGATTTCTTATTATATTTAACTTAAAACAGAGTCATACACCACCCAGCATTCAGAGTTCCTGGGATCTGAATAGTACACTAGGACAACACTTGATATATAATTTAATCCTGGAGCATCTTTGTCTGCATGCTGCTTCTGGAGGACTGACGCCGACAGGGGAAAGTGAATCCGAATCGCAGCTTGGTTCTTCCCGACGCACAGAAGCCCTCCGAGCCCATGTCCTCAGAAGAACTTGTTCCTTCTTCCTGTCTTCTGCCTTTGCTGGAGGGGGGGCAGCGGGGAGAATGACTGAGAGCTCCCAGAGACACGGTGCACCCGGGCAAAGAAGACATTGGTGCCAGCCAGACCACAGCCGCTAACGGGGCCCTTTCTGCGTCTCGGTTAGTGCGGCACCCTCTCCGGCCATCTGTTTTCCTGACAGGGTGACAAAACCCGTTTTGTCAATGAGCGCCACTTTGAACGAGCACCTGTTTTCCTGACATTAAGACTTGCTGAAAAGCATTCTGCCCTCACTGCAGGCCACGAGGGGGGGGGGTAAGCTAAAAAGGAAAAGAAACCACCAGCACAGCATTTCTGAAGTCTGAAACAGAACAGCTGAGCTGTCCCGCAGCCACTGTCTCATTGCTCTCCAAGCCAGAGTCCCAGGGAAGCACTGGATGCTGCTATTCCAACTGCATCAAGCCCAACATTAAGCCTGACATTCCAGGGCAAGGCTCGGCTCCATGCCCGGGACATTCCAAAATATGTTCTGCTAGCATCCCCTCCAGAGAAGGAAGCCCCAAATGCAGGAGTATCTAAGGCCAGGGGGCATTCAAGACTCTCTTTGGAGGTGCCTACAAGTGTCCTGAGAGGGGAGGACACGGCAGCATGTCATACATGGAGACCTTTTGCAAAGCATTGAGGTCCGCTCTATGCCAGCTCTAACGGGAGAGGGCAGGTAAAAATGTATTAAGGGGGGGAAAAAAAGGAAATCCAGAAAAATCTTGGCGGTGGGGTCCTTGGTGCTCTCTGAGCTTGGTCGTTTTGTCGCAGACGTTTCATTGCCCAAATAGGTAACGTCATCAGTGCTGGAAGGGGATAGGGTTTGTGGAAAGGAGGAGGAGGTGGTGGTGGTGGTCTGTCTTGGCTCTTTATTGCTCTTTGAGCTTGGTTGTTTTCTTGCAGATGTTTCATGACCTCAATAAGTAATATCATCAGTGCCAGAAGAGTTTGCTTTCTGTTTATATACAAGCGTCTTGCCCTGTCAGTCTTGGTGGAAGTGAGTCTTGCTGGTTCCTTGATCAGGCTGGGGGTTTCTTTTGACACTCTCCAACAGGGAATATCGTTCAAAAGAGAGTCCTTGTGGATCTCAGAAACTGGCCCAAGGCCCAATCATGTCCACTCTGTGATTAAGAAACCCTCCCCCAGGGTCTCTCAAAGCAATGCAGAAATTAAAATCGGTGGTGTTTATTTGAGGCTACCTGGCTTTCATGCATGAGTCCAGACTACAAAGCAGCGCATGGATGCGCATAGTTCCTATGCTGGACTAGCTTGATGCTTACCAACAGGAGTCAAGGGGACAATCCAGAACCTTCGGGTGTTTCCACTTCTAATTCTTACTTGCCATGTAGGTTGGGGCTGACAGCACTTGAGTGCAATTAATTCTGGAGAAGCCCGGTCAGACTCTGCTTCCTAACTGCCGCACTCGGCTGGGAGCATCGACAGCCTGTAGTCTATGCTGCCCTCTGATGCGCACAGTGAATATAACAATCTTCCTTCTTTCTTCCTCTACTTTAGCTGGTGGGCAGGAACCATCTTTTTCCTAAGTTGAAAAAGAGTACAGGCAGTCTGTACTCTTCCATGATCTCAAAAATCTAGCTTGAGCAAAAACCTGACCCAGATCCTTCAGATCGCCACGGCAGGATTAGCTCCTACTCCAAACAGATCAATGAAGCAATGTAAGAAAAGGGTAGTGTTTATGTAGTTGGAAAACAAAATGACAAGGAAAAGATCACACTGGGGACATCGTATGTTTCCATAATGAAATCCATCCATCCTTGCCAGCAGCTTTCCAGCACTGAAGATGCCTATCTACCATCTGGCTGAGTCTCAGATGCTTTCTCAATTCGTTGCCTGCTTGAAGTCTAGAGAAATGCCCCCCCCCCCAAAAAAAATCCCAGTACTGGCTTTCATTTCTCAGTAAGGAATATCTGCCAGAACAACAACAACAAAAAAAGACGTTCAATGGAATATACCAGATCTGGGTCATTCATTTTATCTGGGTTCAGATTTAAATCAAAACGAAAAGGGTTTGAACCAGAGCTTAGGATGGGAAATGCCTTTTTATTGTGACTTATAGACCATAAAAGGAGCCGTGTTTACAATGCGGATTCCAAGTATCACACGTCCGTATTATTTAAAATCGGGATTCTCGACCAAGCGTTAAGGACAAAATGAATGGCACAAGGTTTCTAAATCCAGTCTGGTCACCCGCTCTCCTTAGATAAAATTAGCATTTTATGCTAATTTTAGATATATTTCTCAACATGGACACATTTAGGTTTCACGTTCACGACAGAATTGTCATTGGTTATTTTTTTGTACATACATTTTTATTATTATTACTTCCTTGCTCTGTTTGTAGATGTTGCTTTTCTTTTTTGCCCCTCGGTTTTTGTATTTTAACTTTGGAGACCAAAATATATATATATATATTGTAAAAAAAAAAATTAGCAAGAGGGGAATTGACATTAAACCTGCTGTACATTTTGTTTGCTAGTATCTCCCATTTCTTCCCCTGGGAAAAAAATCAGCTGCAAACAAAGTATTAAATTCTGAGAAAAGTTCCAGTCAGAACGGTTCAGAATTTTACGCTTCCACCTTTCGTCTCGCTTGTCAACTCCCAGAATTATTGCCCAGCCAGTCTTAAAGTTGCCAAGATTGCACACCCCTGCCTTAGACAAAGTCAGCAGCGTGGCATTGGTAGGTCCATGAGGGGTACCTTCCCCAGTCCTGCAGTGTATGTAAGCTACCACAATTAAATTTTAAAAGATCTTGAAACATCATGTATGTCGTGAGATTTTGGCTAAAGAACACTAAATGCTTGAGTGAAGAAAGTGGATATCTTGCAGGATTTAACCACTGGGCGAAAATGCACGCAACTGAAATAAAGAATTTTAGGAATGCCTGCTCTGTCTCTCTCTCTCTCTCTCACACACACACACACACACACACACCAGAAATGGGGACCCCTGGCATAAAAGTATTTGACATGGAGATAAACGTGCCCCAGGGCCTTAACGGTCCCAATTAAAAAGTTGAAAAATAAAAAAGAGATAAAGAATTCCATGCCTAACACCAAGGAAATACCAATCAAAATTCAAATTTACCTGTTCCACCTGATTGCCTCCAAGGCAAAATATAGGACAGAGAATGTGGGTGGTGATGAGGGAAGCTGCATAGCTGTAAAACCCCAGCGAGCGGAGCGGAGCGTAGGACGGTGTTAGGAGCTGTTGCAAAGAGATTCTTTGGGAAGAAGATGAGGTTTCTTGCAAACAGCGTCTAGCACAAAACAGTCTCTGTGCTCCTCACAGTTTGAAAGTTGCTGATCTCGCCTCTTGCGTTTGTTGAGCGAGGGCTGATTGGCGCTTTCGTCCCGCTTGCCTTCAGGAAGGCCCAGCGTTCTTAAACAGGCAATAGCTGCCGCCTGTTCGGCGAGCTTCTTGGATTTTTCCCTGGAAAAGAAGACGACAGGGAGTCTGAATTTTGATCCTGTTGCTGTGGGAACGCAGGGAAGAGTTGTAAGCATGGGGACTGGATGTACGTCGCTTTCTTCGGTGTTGTGGTAACTTCACACGGTCACTAAATGGACAGTTGTAAGTCAAGGATTACCTATATACATAAAGCCCAAACTCTGCATTCGGCAAAGTATCTACTGCAGGGGTCTTCAAACTTGGCCCTTTGATGACTTGTGGACTTCAACTCCCAGAATTCCTCAGCCAGAAGTCCACAAGTCATCAAAGGGCCAAGTTTAAAGACCCCTGATCTACTGCATCTACAGGTAGTCCTCAATGTCTATGGAGGTTCTCAGCCATCCAGGTCATGGTTGCCCCACATGGTTGCTTTTTTCAGGAGGAAACTGGACTTTCTCATTTTTCTTTGAAGACATTTCGCTCTTCAAAGAAAAATAAGAGTTAGTTCTCAACATACGACCTCCATTGAGCCCAAAAGGGCTTTTTTTGTTTTTTTGAAAACGACAGTGGGATGCTCTAGGGAACCACTAGAAGCTTTTTGAATTCACTGCCCAAAGTGAATTCACTGCCCAAAGTGATGGCTTTAGAATGCCATCAAAAACTTTATTGAATGCACATCACGGAACTGGAGAAGGAAAACCAGCCCTGTTTTTTTCCACACGAAAAATGGCTTAATCCAGGGGTAGGCAACCTTGGCTCTTTTATGACTCGTGGACTTCAACTCCCAGAATTCCTCCGCCAGCATGGCTCAGCTTGGAAACCTCTCCCTTTCCCCTCAGCGTGGCTGGCTCAGGAATACACTTTCCCAAAAGGCACTTACCATAAAGTTGAGCTGTACTTTTGCCCACCGATTGTCACCACAGAACAGAACAGTCTATCCCGCGGCCTTTCGATCTAGAGCAAGGCGAGAAAACGAAGGGCGGTTGGCTTTGAAGTCAACGCGAGCGATCCATTCAACATGCTTTGGAGTGAGCGCTGGTGAAACTAGCCAATATTTCAGTGCCAGGCTGGGAGCAACCAGCGCCGGATGCAGAAGCTTAAGGCAGCTGGACCACCACATTGAAAGCGGCTTTCAGATCTTTGGTTTGCCTGAACAGCTGTTCCTCCAGAAGACAGAGCGAGCTGCTGGAGAATTTCAAAGGCAGCTCGTGATGCGAGAGGCTTGGGCCTAGTGTACAAGCCAAGTGGGTCAAAATTCCCAGGGATACAAATATTTGCAGAGGCCCCAAGTATCTCCTGCTATCGGAGACAACGTTTTAAGAGGACCCGATTCCCTATTCAAGTTAAATGTTTATTGTGCTCCGAGGTCAGCCTAAGAAGAACTGGGGGAGGGGTGTTTAACTAATGAATGTTGTCATATGGTGTCTTACTGTTTCATAAGCAGGTTGAACCAGCTTCTCTCTCCTGCACCATTCCAGAAGGTGCATTTTGGGTGTAATTTGTGGGGGATACTCTCGTCTGAAGGAGAAAAAAAGAAAACAAACAATACACACCTGGAGGCCAGGGGCTGCAATCATCAACAGCCCAATCTGTTACACCAACATTTTTCAAATTTGGCCATTTTAAAAGAGGCGTGGACTTCAACTCCCAGAATTCCTCAGTTAGCAAGCTGACTGAGTACCACAAAGTGCAATGAAAATCTTGGCTTAACGTGATGCCTGAACACAGGCAACTATGTCTCATCAAACCAAGATTAAACAGCCTATGGCTTAAGTGTAACCCAGAAGCTCTCTAAATGTTTAGTATTCAAAAGAAACACAGGATGCTAATCATCTCACTTACTTATCAAACTTAACTGCCATTTTAATGACATCTGGATCTTCAGAGTGGTCATCATTATTTGGGCTCTTGACTTGTAGTGAAACTTTTTTCTTCTCCAGTAAATCGGATGCTTCTTGGAAGAAACTACTCATCCCAAAAACCTCACTAATTAAAAAAAAAATCAAATTAATTCTAGAAAACATTCAGTTCTGAAAATGAAATATATTTACATATACCTACACATATAGGTAGTCCTCGACTTGCAACAGTTCATTTAGTGAACATCCATTTTAATGTTAATATGTATTAGTTTAATGTTTCAATGTTTTATCTGCTTGCTTTTGCTTTGTTGTAAGTTGCCGAGATTTGCTTCTAGGCAAGATGGGCAGCATATCAACTTAACAAACACACAAACTAAGCAACTGGTGCTCAAAAGAATCCCTCTTGTCCATTTTGCATTAGGTTTTTATATTACTGGGAATAATAGGAAATGACGAGTAAGATAAGTAAGATTAAATTCCATCTGTGATGTGAAGATTGGAACCATTCTAATAGAATAATACAAGATTTCCTTCCAGCAATGGCAGTTAGCATGTATTAAAGAAGGAGGTAAACAAAAGTGGCACGTTTTTGCATTAAAAACTTTTAACAAATATTTTAACCTATTTGCATTTGCATTGCACTGTACACTGTTGGCTTTATCCAGGGACACATTTAATTAAAATAAAAACATGAACATGCCCTTACCAGATTTCCTGCAAGGATTGTGCGGCGTGCAGCTTCTTTCCTTGTGCGTTTTCTAATTGCTCCCTTAACATCTGGCACAAGCAATATTTTGTATTGGTGTAGTGATTATCATATCTCACTGCCTAAGGAAAACAAGATGAGTAACACTTTGACAAAGGAGAAACAAACGCCTTCAAATATCCAAATGTGTCAGAAACCTGGTACTAAAAAAAACCCCATCTTTCTCTTGTAGCAGACATCTAGACTGAACAAACTGTGTAGTTTACAGATGGATAACAGTTACTCCATTAAGGGCAGACTTCCTTTCAATACAATATATTATTAGATTTATATCCCGCTTTTCCTACAGGACCTCAGGAAGACTTAAACAGTGCTTCTTCTCCTCTTTTCCCTATAGCAGGGGGTCTCCACACCTGACAACTTCAACTGTATAGAACTGCAGAAACCTGCAGTTATGAAACCCAAAAAAATGGGAGATCACGGTTTCACGTTCCTGCAGATATAATGAATCCTTCCCCCCACACACCAAGAGACTGCTATCAAGAATGCCTACGTATTTGATGTATTCCTGCATGACGTCCTTCAGAGGCAAAGAGCCTTCCTTCCTGAAGATGGAGGGGTTCCACATGGCAGCCCGGGCGACCATTACAGAAGATGCTGAAGTTGCTTCCTGGAAGATCCGGAGGTCAGAATATTCTTTGATGAAATCGTAGGATCCTCCACTGAAAGGAGAACATTGTTTGCATTACCAGCAGTGGTGCATGAACCTGGTGTAGGTTAGATGTGGTGTCTTATGAGGATTCTCAGTTATCCAGGTCCTAGTTGCATCAAAAGTGGTTTTTATTTTGAAAAGGTGACTGGATTCTCAGTTATCCAGGTCCTAGTTGCATCAAAAATGGTTTTTATTTTGAAAAGGTGACTGGATTCTCAGTTATCCAGGTCCTAGTTGCATCAAAAATGGTTTTTATTTTGAAAAGGCGACTGGACTGATATTTCATCAGTTGCATGTGGGAGATGGAGAGTTATTGACAAGTTGAGATTAGTTGATGAGAGGGGGGAATGACTGGTTCTGATAGGATGGTGATTCCACACCTCAGTTGTGGTCATAAGTCAAAGACTAGGGCAGGGGTAGGCAACCTTGGCTCTTTTATCACTTGTGGACCAACTTCCAGAATTCCTGAGCCAGCATGGCTCAGCTTGGAAACCTCTCCCTTTCCCCTCAGTGTGGCTGGCTCAGGGATTCTGGGAGTTGAAGTCCACTAGTCATAAAAGAGCCAAGGTTGCCTACCCCTGGCCTAGTGTATAGTAGATGTCTGAAGCTCTGCTGACTGCAGGGGAGGCAACATTTATGTTCACAATGCACTTTCATCCACCAGGTCAGCTTGTTTGTGCCAAGGCTGGACGCTCCGGCCTGAGAGTGAATTCGTTCTACTTACTTGGCTATTACTGGGATGGAAACTACCTCAGAGATGGCTTTGATCACATCGCAATGGACAGGATGCTGAGGCCTCTCCTCTTTCTTCCTTCAAAAGAGAAAGACCAGAGATTAGCAACAGCACTTAGACACCGCTTCACAGTGCTTTACAGCCCTCTCTAAGCGGTTTACAGAGTCAGCCTATTTGCCCCCAACAATCTGGGTCCTCATTTGACCGACCTTGGAAAGATGAAAGGCTGAGTCAACCTTGAGTCGGTCAAGATCGATCTCTTGGCAGTCAACAGAATTAGCCTGCAATACTGCATTCTAACCACTGCGGGATCATGGATGGATGGATAGAAGGAAGGGCAATAGCAATAGCACTTTGACTTAGATACCGCTTCACAGTGCTTTTACAGCCCTCTCTAAGCAGTTCACAGAGTCAGCCTATTGCCCCCAACAATCTGGGGGCTCATTTGACTGACCTCAGAAGGATGGAAGGCTGAGTCAACCTTGAGCTGGTCAGCATCGAACTGTTAGCACTGGGCGGAGTCAGACTGCAATACTGTATTGTAACCACTGTGCCACCATGGCTTTTGAGCAGCAGAGCCAATTCCAACCTCGAAGGGTTTTATGATTAGAAGAATCCATCTTTTCAGATGGAGGATTAGTTTACCTTCCATGAACAGCAATAGCAGCAACTCCTGCCTGCTCTATCCTCTTCACTAATCTTACAGTTTCTTCTTCCTGAAAATGGTGGGGGAAAAAAAATCAACACTCACCCAGGTTTACTACTTAACTTTCCTGAAACTAAATGTGGATGAGATTCCACACAAGTATGCATAATCTTTTTTTTTTTTTTAGGAAAAAGGCTTTAGGGTGGTGGTCAGTTGGTGTCCCCCATAGGTTGGACTTGCCCAACCCATTACAACACGCGCCAGGTTCTTGGCAGCTGCCTTAAACCCAAAAGGATTCATTTTGCCAAGTACAAGTCCTTAATGAGATTTATTGGGATGAGATTACAAGAATTACAGCAAATAAATATTTTTGCATCGAAACACTAGACCGGTTCTTTTTTTCCCCAGACACGTAATATCTGAAATATTGTAATATATCCTTACCGATGACAAAATTCGGATTTTGCAAGTTACCGGCTTAGACACACCCTTGACAAGTGTAGTCAAAATCTAAAGGAGAAGAAACAACAGCAGTCTTTTAAGAACAAGAGAGGCAGAAGGCTTTGGAAATGTAGGCCAGTGCTGCAAAAGGCTCTTCCCTCATGGTCTCCTCAAGTTCTCCACCAAACAATAAACAAGCTAAATGGACTCTTAATGACTTCCTATCGCCGGCTTTTCATGAACAAGGTCCACAGCTCTGCCTGTAAGCTGCACATTAAAAAAGTCTTCCTGCTCTCAGCCTGATCCTCCAGGCAAGCTCTGAACTAGGAATACGGGAAGCCTGAATAGGTTCCCAAACTCCATTAAGTGTTACTGCCAAGCAAAAAAACAAACACAAAAAACTAACAACGCATCACTCTGCAAAGGAAAATACTAAGAGTTTTCATAGGGAACATTGCCCACTTTCTTCAGATGCATCAAGAATTATTTTGAAAAAGAAATTTATACGTGCCCCCGGGGATTGAGGGGGGGAGGAAGGAGGAGAAAGAAAGGAAATGAAGAAAGGAGGGTGGGGGGAAAAGAGAGCTGTCTGCAAGGAATATAAATACCGTATATTCCGGCGTATTAGGCGACCCGGCGTATAAGACGACCCCCGAGTTCGACGCCGGGTCGCAAGACAATCGACGCCGAGTCGCATATAAGACGACTTTCTAGGCATGCGACTCGGCGTCGATCATCTTATACGCCGGAAATGATGTCATTTCCGGCGTATAAGATGACTTTCTAGGCATGCGACTCGGTGTCGATCATCTTATACGCCGGAAATAACGTCATTTCCGGCGTATAAGATGATCGACACCGAGTCGCATGCCTAGAAAGTCATCTTATACGCCGGAAATAATAAATAAATGTTATGACTCGGCGTATAAGACGACCGCCGAGTTCGGAGGCTGTTTCATCGTTCTCAAAAGTCGTCTTATACGCCGGAATATACGGTACTTCCATTCCCCAACAGCTGGTCAGACCTGAAGAAGCCTTTTGGATGAGAGATGAAATTCTTCCAAGAGCAGGGGATTGGACTAGATAACACCCAAGGTCCCTTCCAACAATATTATGATGATGATGATGATTAAAAATGAGAAAATCCAGTTGCCTCTTGAAAAAGCGACTTTGGGACAGGCAGGAAGTAACAAAAAGCTAGCAAAAAAACCAGAGTTATGAGGGTGAAGGTTCGTGCTCCGAGCTTGTGGGTTGGTTTCCGAACATTTCGTTACCGGGCTAGATAACATCTTCAGCGAAGTTGAGGGGATGTCAATGTCGGTGTTCTTTTACTTATAAAGGCTTCAGGTGCGGGTGTGCCAAGTGCCCTAAGAACCAAAAGAACACTGACACGGACATCCCCTCAACTCCGCTGAAGATGTTGCCTAGCCTGGTAACGAAACGTTCGGAAACCAACCCGCAAGCTCGGAGAACGTGCCTTCACCCCTATCCTACATCTGAGTGTTGGAAGAAAGGTCTTCATCGTGGCTCAACCAACCTGGGAATAAACATGGCAACTGCTTTGGGAAGAAGGTTGTGGTTTATTGGAGAGGACAGCCAGACAGGAAGATGGTTCTGGCAGTAAGAGAAGTGAAAAAAAAAAAAGGACTGAGCACATGTGGGTAGTGGGTTTTTATACCGTCTGAAGTAGTTTCCTGTTCCTGTTTTAGGCTTTGTATTTCCTGTGTCACCTATTCTGACCTGAGTCTGGGTGTGCCTTTCTGGTATTCTTGAGGGTGGTGGGTTAATCCTATTATGACCAAAGGTCATATCCTGCTTCCTGGTGCTGGGGCTACTGACTCTCAGAGTTTGGGTGGGGTATGCAGATTTTAGGTGTCTTTGTCCTCTTGATCTCCTAGCTGGGGCCTTTCTGATGGTTTATATCTGCATTTGGACAGAGCTGGCTTCTGCTTGGGGAAAGCAGACTTGGGGCTATTAAGGAAAACTGGGCATGCCTTTCTGTCTCTTTAAGATCCTTGGAGGAAATATATTTTTCTGCCCTTTTAATATTTCCTTCTCTGGGGGGCTGACTTCCCACATGAGCTACAGTTATTCGCCACTATTGCAAACTGCCTAGTTGTGACCCCTGCACACTTTTGGTAGAGCTCCACTCAACGTATTCCTGCCCTGCTGCCTTTTCACACACCCCTCCAGTTCCTCCAGTCTCCACCTGCTCTTATTTTTACAAACAGCCACAGAACACGACAAGCCGGGCACTCGGCATACTCACGGATTCTATTCTGTCCGGATCAGACAAGAGCGCTGCTCCCATTCCACCCTGGGAAAACACACACAAAACAGGCCTTCGTTCATCTCAGCAGCCCAAAATATCCCCAGGAGGTTCTACAGGTAGTCCTCAATTTGCAATCTCTCATTTAGGGACCGCTGGAAGTTACAACGGCATTCGGAAAAAGCGACCCGTGACTGTTGCGGCATCTCCACAAGTCATGTGATCAAAACCCAGGTGCTTGGCAACTGGCATGGACTTATGACAGTTGCACTGTCCCGGGATCATCTGATCACCATTTTTAAACTTTCTCAGCCAGCTTCCGACAAAGTCAAGGGGGGGGGGGGAAGGAAAGGCAGATTTGCTTAATGACCACATGATTCAATTAACCACTGCAGTGATTTGCTTAACAATTGTGGGGAAAAGGTTATAAAGTTGTTGACTTGGCCTTCCATCCTCTGGAGGTAAAATGAGGACCCAGATTGTTAGGGGCTGGCTCTGTGAACCGCATAAAGAGAGGGCTGTAAAGCACTATGGGGCAGTATGTAAGCCTAAGTGCTGTTACTATTGTCCTTCCTTCCTTCCTTCCTTCCTTCCTTCCTTCCTTCCTTCCTTCCCATCCATCCATCCATCCATCCATCATGCACAGTGGTTAGAATGCAATATTGCAAGCTAAGTCTGCCCACTGCCAGGGATTCGATGCTGACTGGCTCAAGGTTGACTCAGCCTTTCATACTTTGGAGGTTAAAAAATGGATGAGCAAGATCAACCTTACCTTTGTGGAATATTCTTTGGGGCATCCCATGTTGACATCGATGCCAGCGATGTCATCCTCTCTGAAACGACAAGACAAAAAGACAATCACAAAGGCATAAGGAGATTTTTTTAACATTTAGACACACACAAACACTATTAAGCAATTCATTTTCAGAGTAACTAGCCAGTGGCTGAATGCTTTCACTTTTGTTTATATAGCATATAAGCTCATGAGAATTGTTTGAACATAACGTGAAAGAAGTACAACACATAAGTAACATGCATGTAAATATATATACTGACAGATACTTACACAAGTTTGGCTACCGCCAAGGCTCTCTCAGCATCAGCCGTGCCCTGAACAAAAGCGAGGGGAAAAAACATATAGGATTATTTTTCTAGAAAGATTATTAGTTCATTCTTCAGCTCCACAGCTCCCAGAATTGCTCACATATACATTAAAAAAAATAGAGGTACTCTAGATAGGACTGGCAACTCTATCGTTAAGTAAAGCAGCCATTGTGGGAAGTGAACTGCACTTTCTGGCTGGAAAGAGACAAGACTATTGTCAGGTGCAAAGATTCACGAGCACATGTGCAGTTGCAATAAAGATTTATTGCAATGGTGGCAAATATCTATAGCTCTGGTGTAGGATGAGGGTGAAGGTTTGTTCTCCGAGCTTGTGGGTTGGTTTCTGAACATTTTAATAGTAGTAGTACTAGTAGTAGTAATAATAATAGTAATAATAATAATAATAATATCAATTTCTTGAAATCTCTTTCTCTCAATCTCTCCACTCTGTGAGAAGGGTGGGGGAGGCCAGACAAACAAGAGATTGCCTACAGAAATAGCTTTCCTTTCTCTCCCCACGTGACCACCCCGATTTTATGACCTTTTTGTGGCAGCTGTTTCACCTGAGCAGTTAGTTTTGCTTTTGTAAATCTTAGTTTCATACCATTTGAAAAACAACGTGGTTTTTTTCTCTTGCACAAGTCCTGAACACCACTCTTTCATTGGGGGCAACAAAGTCCACAGTTCCAAGAATATCTGTGGGACACAGAAGGGAAGAAGTCTTTACTTAAGGACTCAATTAACAGATAGTTAATTATTAATTAACACAACCCATAGTGCCATTCAAGATTTCACTTCTTAGATCTTCACCACTGATTATAGCCAAAGATTAAGTCACAATATCAATACTGAAAGTTCAGTTTGTAATTGTGTTTATTAAATTTGCTGGATATGGCACTTTTAATAAGCTCTGAATGCTTCCGAAGAAAAGAGCATCCTTTACATTAGTGTCAAAAACAATATATTTAATCATCGATAAATAAAGTTAAACATGTCAGCAATTTATAAGATGAGCCATAAGCAAGAACAGGTCATTATATCATATACATGTTTAGCTTAGTTTACAGCTGCAATGATTAATTATCTACACTATAATTTGATCTAAGGTTTATGAGTTACATATTCAAATATGTACCAGCCAATTATTACCATTTTTTTGCCACTGTAAATTTCAGTATCATCAAGACGTTTTAATTTCTTTAACAAGCACTTTATCTAAAGAAAACAGGCCACATTAATCATTGTCTTAAGCTACCAGTTAGGAAAAACAGAACTTTTTCATTTTATTTGTCGCTCAAAAATCAAATAAATACTTGCCATTTACAACTCTTTTGCACTGAAGCATCTTTATGTCAATCAGCTCCTGAAAGAACAAGGTAAAGGTTACCAAAGAATTTCATCCCAATAGAAAAAAAAATATTTTTAAAAAGTAACCCCCTTTCCCTTTAATATACAGAAGAGGTGAAAGACACCCAGGCTGTTTTCTTAGCAACAATATTTCAACTGCTCCCCTCAAGACGCCACGATAGGGCATTGCATGCCAAAACAACCAGATACAAAAACAGGTTTTACCATACTACTGTCTTATATCTAAGTATATTTACCCACATAGTATGGCTGTATTACTATTACCCTTCTCATCTTTTCTACTACTTTCTCCTGTTGGTATCCTATGATTATACTTTGTTGTTTGTGTGTACACTGAGAGCTTATACACCTGAGGCAAATTACTTTTGTCCAATCACACATGGCCAATAAAGCCATCTATTCTATTCCATTATCTCCTGAAAACAGTCTGAAAGAGATGGAAACACCCTTGTCCCCTACCTCACAATACACAATGTCAGCACCATAATCCAAAGCCAGCAGTCTCATCGGCAGTGTCCCAACCCGTACCATGGGAGCCAGTATTGCTTTATTTGTGAAACTGAGGGCTATGTGGTTCATTGGCATGATGTCTTTGGAATCAGCTGAAAGAAAGAAAACATGTTCAAAAATTAGAGAGTCCCATTGAATTGAAGTGTTGTAAAAACTGACCAATTAAATTATTCTTTGCATAAATAAGGAAAATCAGCAACAAAGATGATTAGGGGACTGGAGGCTAAAACATATAAGGAACAGTTGCTGGAATTGGGTAGGTCTAGTTTAAGGAAGAGAAGGACGAGAGGGGACATGATAAAAGTGTTCCAATATCTCAGGGGTTGCCAAAAAGAAAAGGGAGTCAAGCTATTCTCCAAGGCACCTGAAGGCAGGACAAGAAGCAACAGATGGAAATTAATCAAGGAGAGAAGCAACCTAGAACTAAGGAGAAATTTTCTGACAGTTAGAACAATTAATCAGTGGAACAACCTGCCTCCAGAAGTTGTGGATGCTCCAACACTGGAAGCTTTAAAGAAGAGATTGGACAACTATTTGTCTGAAATGGTATAGGGTTTCCTGCCTGAGCAGGGGGTTGGACTAGGTGACCTCCAAGGTCCCTTCCAACTTTATTATTAAAATCCCATCCATTGCACTTATAACTATCACAGTCAGACACAGCATCCAATCCTGGTTTAATGTGTTGCCATATACAAAAGAACTTACTCCAACCAAGTTAAGGTTTGATTCTGATAAAATAGCCATATCCATGCAAAGCTGGCTGAGGAATTCTGGGAGTTGAAGTCCACAAGTCTTAAAGCTGCCAAGGTTGGAGACCTCTGTTCTAGTCTAGATAACGAACCTATTTAACACTCCCACCTCCTGTTTCCCCTACTACAACAACCGCGTGAAGTGGGCCGGCCGGGGGACGCCAGGCGAGGCTCAGCTCGGAAGCGGCTCCCACCGCAACTCACCTTCGGGCCCGCTGCCGCGCATGCGCCAGGCGACGAGATATGACGTCACTGCCTTATCTTCCCACACACACACACACACACACACATTCGAAGCAGAGATAGGAAAGGGTAGAGATGCCCAGATGTAAACAAATGCCAAAGTTAGGTTTTTCGAATTACAATTGTACAATTTTATTTCCATAAACGTTCAGTGGATCTCATATCAATGAAATCATGCCTCCGTGGCTGGCTCGCCCTTATAATGGTTATAGGGAATGCCCCATGCGTCAAAAATTCTTAAGATTACTGACCGAATTGATAAAATCCGGTTGGCCGGAAAGAATTTTTATGACATGCCTATAAACCACCCGTTCAAATGTTTGCGGCCCAGATTTGATAAACCGCAAGTTTATTACTATAGTCTAACCCAGGGGTCTTCAAACTTGGCCCTTTTATCACTTGTGGATTTCAACTCCCAGAATTCCTCAGCCAGCGTGCCTGGCTGAGGAATTCTGGGAGTTGAAGTCCACAAGTCATTAAAAGGGCCAAGTTTGAAGACCCCTGGTCTAACCCACGCTCTCAGCTGATCTCTATGTTTACTCTAAATGTCAAGCCATCCTCTTATGAGAACAATCATAAACCTTATGAAAACGATCCTAATGCCCCACAGAGAAACATTGTACTATCGCCTTCATTAATGAAACATTATAAAATATATACGATCCTAAAGAGAGGCTCCTCTACATTTTTATGGTCTATGTTTTTTAAGCGCCAGGAGGCGAGGGCCTCAGTGACGTCATCGTGGAACGCCTCCCCCGCGAGGCCTAAAGCCGCGCCCGCCGTTTACGTCATCTTTTGGCGACCGTCGCGTTCTCCCTTACCGCTCCATCATGGCGCTCTCGCTTTGGGGGATTCGTGGATCGGCGGCGGCCGCCCGATTCCCCTCGTGGCTGCGGCCGGCCGTGCGGGTCTGGACGCTGCGCCAGGCCTCCGGAGCGTCCCCGCCTGACGACCGCGTGGTGCGGATCCCCCACGCTTGGAAGCTGCGGCTGGAGCGGCCGGCGTCCAAGCGGGAGCGAGGCGGGAGCCCCGAGAGGGACGGTAGCGCGTCCTTTGGGGAAAAGCTGCTGCTGCGGACCCGGAGACGCGAGCTGAGCCAGGCGGCCCGGCACACGGTGGGCCGCCTGGAGAGGCCGCGCTTGGTGTCGGACGGCTGGAAGCACCGCTTGTCCCGGGGGGATTATTTCCAGCTGGAGCGGACGCGGAAGGAGCCTATTTCGGAGCCGGCCGGCGGGGAGGCCCCGTCCACCTTCCTCGAGCTGGGGCTGGAGCCTCGCGTGGCGGCCCCCTTGCAGGAGGTGCTGGGCGTCTCGCGGCCCACGCCGGTGCAGCAGCGCACCATCCCGGCCCTGCTGAAGGGGGGCCACGCGCTGTGCGGGGCGGAAACCGGCAGCGGCAAAACCCTGGCCTACCTGCTGCCCCTCTTCCAGCGGCTCTTGCAGGCCCCGAAGCTCCCCGAGAAGGACGCTTATGCGACCTCTCCCCGCTCCTTGGTGGTGGTACCCTCCCGAGAACTCGCGGGGCAGGTGCGTAGAGTTGCTGCCTCCTTGGCCGGTCCTTTGGACTTGCAGGTGAAGGAGGTCGGTGGTGGCCGGGGCACGGCTGTGCTTCGGCGCCGGATCCGTGAGGGTCCCACTGACCTCTTGATTGCCACGCCCGGTGCTCTGAGCAAGGTCCTGAAGAGGAAGATGTTGTCCTTGGAGAAACTGCTCTTCTTGGTGTTGGATGAAGCGGATACTCTCCTGGATGCCTCGTTCATAGATCTGGTGAAAGACATCGTTCAGCATGCTTTCTTGAAGGATGCCGTTCAGCAAGCTTTTCTGGACCCGCATTCTGAAGACAGGGATGAGGCTTGGGATCCCAAAGCTCAGCTGGTGGCTATGGGTGCTACCATTCCAAAGGGGCTGAGTCAGATGTTGAGTGAGTCTGCCGATCTCTCCAGCTTCACCGTATTGACCGGTTCAAGTTTGCATTGTCTTCAGCCTCACGTGGAGCAAAGGTTCGTACGTTTGAAGGGCTGCGACAAAGTAGCAGAGCTGCTACAACTCCTCAAAGAGCGAGGGCCCTCCTCTGGAGCCGTTATTATTTTCTGCAACAGAGCCAGCACTGTGAACTGGCTGAGTTACATTTTAGAAGACCATAAGATCAAACATTTACGCCTGCAGGGAGAAATAGCAGCTGATACGCGAGCTGGCATATTTAATGCCTTTAGAAGAGGCGAGTCTGACATTCTGTTGTGTACTGATATCGCTTCCCGTGGATTGGACACCATTCATGTTGAGCTCATCGTTAATTATGACTTCCCTTTAACATTGCCAGATTATCTGCATCGTGTGGGACGTGTTGGTCGCATCGGCAGTAAATTCCCTGGGACTGCGGTCAGTTTTGTAACCCATAAGTGGGATGTAGATCTTGTTCGCAAAATAGAAACGGCAGCTCGCAAAAGGGGTCCGCTCCCAGGGCTAGATATAGTTGTTAAGGAGTCTTTGCCAAAAAAGAAGAAATTCTGAATTTGCCTGGAGGACCTAGAATCAATCTAATGTTTGCAGCAGTTCCTGATGTATTTCTGACATTTTGTGTATTTGATTTTTGACCACTCAGTTCCTTAATAAAACTGTGCTAATACATTGATGCTGACATGGAACAGTCAGAGACTTCATCTATCCTATAAAAACATGGAGGATATTGCATCCATCATATTTATTCAACATATTTACATATGTTTTGTATTGTCCAAATTGACTTTATATATTATTCTACAAATGGTAAAATCCAGCAGTTCAGATGCCAAACGGCATAGCCCTCAGCCATGCCAGACTTCCTCTGGGCTCTGCCATTCCAGGTACAATTTGGTAGTTTCCTGGAAATACATTGCATGTACCAAAAGCAGCTTAATGCATTCTGGTTATTACATTCTGAATTCAAAAAATAGTGTGCAGCTAGTCCTCAACTTAAAACGGTTCATGTAGTGGCCATTCAAAATTACAAAGGCACTGAAAACAGTGACTTAACATCAATTTTTCACACTTAATTACTATTGCGGCAATCTCATGGTTACGTGATCAGAATTCAGATGCTTGGCAACTGACTCATATTTATGGTGGTTGCAGAGTCCCAGGGTTATGTGAATGCTTTTGAAACTGACGAGCAAAGTCAACCAGGAAACCCAGTCCACTTAATAACCATGTTACTAACTTAACAACTGTAGTGATTCGCTTAACTGTGGCAAGAAAAGTCATAAAGTGAGGCAAAACTAACATCTCACTTAGCAACAGAAATTTTTGGCTCAGTTCATAAGTCGAAATGGTATGGCTTGAGCAGGGGGTTGGACTAGAAGACCTCCAAGGTCCCTTTCAGCTCTACTCTGATTTATTGATTGACTATCTGTACATCCTTAATATTGTTTGCAAACTCATTGGACTGTCATATACTAATTGCATATTTGGTCAGGTTTCTGCTTTCAGTGCCAGAACACACATGTTAATAAGTGAAAGAAGTGCCCTTGGGCATGTATAGAGAGCTTTTGAGGACGTGCTGTGAACATTTGCAGTCATCCAGCTTACCTTGAAGAGTACAGAGGCAGACACGGCAGAACTGTGAGCAGTAATATCCAAGATCTCGGTGCATATTTAGAGAGCATGTTAAAACAAAGTGCAGGAGCTGTTAGAGTAGAATCATCATTGTCTCTTTAACAATGGTTTGGCTGCATGTGATCTATGTCAAAGCAGCTGCTATTTCCAATTAACTGGAAAAGTGAGTTGAGAAGGTATAAAAGAGCAATGCGTACGTTCTGGTCTGTGGTTTCACCTGATATCCAGGCATAGTGGTACTTTCACACAGCAAGCATGTTTACTCCACCCATAGCAATCAGAGTTGGCAAATTCTTGCATCATTTTTATTCAGATGCCACAACCTATAGCGAATCTGAACTGCAACATCTGACTTAAAGGGATGAAGGGTGACGTGGAATCTCAGTTGAAAGTCAGCAAGTTGCTGGGCTTGTATTTAAAAATAGGCTTGTGAATATGCATGCAAACTTAATTTCCTGCAGAGCATAATGTGCAAATAAAGCCGCTGTGTTTGGCTACTATTAAAGGTACAGAAATAAAAGCAGAAAGCAATACTTGAGAAGATTCAAAGATGTATCCTGTAGGGTTTTTGGAGTAATCTTAATGGAATCTATCCTGTATGGCAGGCATGTCAAACTCACGACATCACGTGACATCATGCGACGTATCACGACTTTCCCCATTGCCAGCAATGGGGTGGGTGCGTTCTCGGCGTGACGCATCCAGCCTGTAGGCTGGCAGTTTGATATGCCTGCTGCATGGGATAAAAAGACTTTTTTGAAGCAGCAATGAAAGTTTGGCTTAAGAAAACCTCTGTGTTCATAAAATCTATGTAAACTAAAGGGCATTTTTAATACTGATTGGGATTAACCCTAACTTTCCACATTTGCCATTTCCCCAATTAGAAGCAAGAACTCCATGTTATTTAGATCATAAAAGTAACAATATTGCAAAACAACAACAACAATCACACCCTTGATTCCTTTTTAAACTAGCACAAGGTCAAGTCTTGTTCAAGTCAAGCTGAACTTGTGATTTACGCAGACCATAAACCAAGGAAACCATATATCAAAAGCTCACTTTATTTTTGGTCAAACATTGTGGGAGCAAAACCATACTAGTTTGTTATAGGAAAAAAAATCTGGAGACTGTTAACCTTCTGGCTACCAAAATTTATTAAAGCACATCAGCTTTCAGGAGCTACAATTCACTTCAAGCTAAGCATCTGATTTATTTGTTGTTGTTGAACCTTATTTTCCAATCAAGATCAGTCTTTATAGCTTAGCACAGTTGTTTTCAACCTGTAGTCCCTGGGCCCCATTGGGGGGGCATGATGTTGCTACAGAGTCCATAAAGGCTTGAAGAAATGTTATTATTTAAATCTTAAGTCTCGGGGGTCTGTGGCCATGCTGCATGGCCACAAAAAGTATTTAAAGGGGGTTTGTGATGAAGTAAAAGGTTGAGAACCACTGGCTTAGCATATAAATATATATCCTATGTCTTCAATGTTTTGAAATCTAAACATTTCTAAATAATTATTTTACACTTGCCCGAGCAGGTTAGAAATTCTTTTAGCTGGTAATCTTCAACTTGCAGCCATGTGTTTGATAACCATTTGAAGTTACAGCAGTGCTGAGAAAGTGGCTTACAACGGCTCATTGCACTTATCTGTTGCAGCATCCCTAAGGTCACCTAACTGCCATCTGCAACTTCTCAGCTGGCTTCTGACAAGCGCAGTCAATGGGGAAGCCAGCAAGAAAGATCAGAAGTCACAGTCTCGTCTCTGTCTCACTTAACACCTGTGGGGAAAAGGTCGTAAAGTTGTGGGGGGGGGGTCATGTGATGCCTTGCTTAAAGATTTCATCACTTAACAACAAATATTATCATTCTTATTCTGGTTTTACTTGAGGGGGCTTTCGGAGAGAAGAAGGGATCAACCTATTCTCCAAAGCACTTGAGGGCAGGACAGGAAGTAACTGGTAGAAGCTTATTAAAGAGAGATCTAACCTGAAACTAAGGAGAAATTTCCTGATAGTGAGGGCAATTAATCAATGGAACAGCTTTCCTCCAGAAGTTGTGGGGTTTTAATCACGGGAGGTTTTTAAGAAGAGATTGCACAGCTGTTTTTCTGAGATGGTATAGGATTTCCTGCCACGGGAAGGAAATAGAAAACTTAAGGTCCCGTCCAGCCCTATTCTATGTTCTATATAGTCATAAAATTGAGGAATACCCGTGTCTTGATTTTCACAATGCTGATCCAGTTACAATTTGTTTGCTGGGGGAGGGAACTCTGCAATTGACTGGACTTAATGTAAGATAAAACACAATTTACAAGCCATAATGACTGGATTCACTTAGCACGATAAACCAAAAATAAACCACATTATGACTTGGACTGCCATGTGAATCAGACCAATATCTCAGCTGGACCAGTCCACAGCTAGCATTGCCAAGCGAGCAGATTAGTAACCATTTAGCAACTGAAAAACAGAATGTTTTAATGCAGTGTGTTCCAATTTGCAAAGATAGGTGAGGCACATCGTTCTTTTCCACCACAATAAAAGTAATCAGTACAGTAAAGCATTTTTACATCTGTAGTGCAATACAACAACAATGGATACCCATTGGCTTCTAAACTAAGGATTCCAGTAACGCACAGTTATATAAACTTTTGACAACCAAGCAAATCTGGACACCATATGTGGACACAAACATTCACCAACACGGCAGTGTTCAGCACATTGCTTTGAACAAAAAAATACATCTGACCTCTTCAGTGTTTCAAAGATAATACTATAATAAAACAACTGCAGTTCTAAATCTGGCCAAAATGAAGTGTGTATGTTATGTATGAAAGCAAATTCTCACATCTTTCTGCTGTTACAGATGGAACTTGAAGTGTGGGAACCTGCCACGCTCTTTGGGGAGATTTTCCCAGCTGCCACATTCAAGTTAAAGCGTATTTGAAGCTGAGTTGGAACCTCAGTTTTCCCAGATGGCTTTCCTTTACAGACAGATGATGGTTCGGCCACATGTGGACACCCTGGAGTTTAAATGCTGGAAAAAAAGAACATGTCTCCTTTCCAGGTTGTTGGATCCAATCTGAAGGCTTGTGTGGTCTAGTGGTGAAAAAAAAGGAAATATGGAATCTGATTCATCATAGCTTGCTATGGTCCATCTTGCCCAGCAACTGAGCAACTACAGATCATCTATGTTCTTCCACAGAAGATCTCCTTGTGGACTTCCAGCGATGTGCCAAGCATTCTTTTCCAAAAGGTGGCGGACCCAGGATCTAAACCATTTTATTTCATTGACTTTGACAGTTAATTAAAATGAAATAACCCAATTAGTACCATCTCTTCCAATCGTGCCTTCTTTCTTTTCCAAGTCTGGATGTTCCCGCAGATACGTGAATCTCATCTCTATGAGATGTCTATAAAGACATTATTTGCTGGAGGGTTCTGTGAATTGTGCTCCACACATCAAGGTAGCAGCTGCCCAGCTTTTGAAGGGCTACTGGATAGACCACTTTCAGGGCATGGAGGGACTGCATTTGGTGTGGAAAACCTCAAATTGTGTCCTTTGTGCTGCATAAATTGACAGATTTCCAGCAGTTCCTAATTTCAGAGTACCCTGCAGTGCCTCTTTTATTGAGGGTGTTTCTCTATATTTTGTTTATATTCCAATGAATAGAGAGAGACAGAGAGAGAGGATAGTTGCAAATTAGAAAGCAGTAAGTAAAAGTTATTTCTTTCACAATAAAAACAACATAATGTACTTTTTCCAATTTAAGTTAGCTTGGGACTACACTATTCCTGAACCTACAATGCTCCTTAATGTTTCTAGATCTTCTGGTTGCAAAGAAATCTTTGAAAATGTTCAGGCAAAGAAAAGAGAGATGGCCGAAAGAATTTCAGATAGTCAGCAAAAAAAAAAGTTGCCGATTGCCCATCCTTTTGCTTTCCACAACCGAAGAATAAATTAACACATATCACTAAGAAGGGTGAAATCAATTTTACCAAGGAAGATAAATTTTGCAACCTTGCATAATGCACTGAGGGTTTTTGCTTTGGCACAAACTTCTTGAGACCTACACACAAAGCACCAACTGTCACACTAAACATCGAAATGCTTTCTGCGAGTTGAAAGGTTAGGGCTTGGTAGCAGCAATACTTGAGACAGCTTGCTGTACTGGTGTCTCCTTTTCACTGCCTTTTTCAGTAGCAAGCAGCAAATAAAAATTTGTACCTTCCAGAAAATTGGAACTTTCCCTTTAGGCATTATGAGAAACACTCATTGTCTCTCCTAAGCCATGAATGGACTAGTGCTGAAAAAGTCAAAGTGGTGCCAACAAAGAATGGGTAACATAACCATGGTGTGCATGATGGATAGGAAATATAACCATGGTGAAGATGAGAGATGGGCAATATAACCATGTTGAACATCATAAATGGATAATATAACTACGGTAAACATCAGAGATGGGTAATAGAACGCTGGCGAACCCTGGTGAACATATTACCCATGGTGGATGGGTAATATCACCATGGTGAACATCAGAGATGGGTCAAATAGCCATGTAAATATGAGACATGGGTCACTTAATTATGACGAACATGACTCATGAATAATATCACCCATAGTAAATATGATGGATGGGTAAAAAAGAGAGCTGGGTAATATCGCCTTGGTGAACATAACGAATGTTCAGGCCAGCTTTTCCAAGATGAACCATTTCTGAACATTTTTGTATAGTCGCCCATTTGCTGTTCTTCCTGTCCTACTTCAAGTCTTCCCTTTTATACATTGGTTGTGGAGTGAGTAGTGGAGAAATTCTCCATGCGAACTCTCACCAGCTTGTCAGCAGGGGCTGGCTGAAGGAGGAACTTGCACGTGAAGACTTGACGGCAGGCATTGCGGAAATTCTCCGAGAGGAAAGCGTAGATGATGGGGTTGATGCAGGAGTTCCCGTAGGCCAAGCAATGGGAGATGATGCGGAAGGTGAAGGAGATATTGTTCAGGGGGAACTGCCCAAATTCTGCCCACATTGTGATGATGTGGTGGGGGAGCCAGGAGATCAGAAAGACGGCAACAACCAGCAGGACGGTCTGGGCCGTCTGCAAGAAAGAAAGAGAAATTTTGGAGAGACAAACTGGGTGAACTGCAGCTTGTGCGGCATCGTTTTATTTTATTTTTTTACAAAGATGCCACATGCCAAGTTGTGTTTAACTATACGTCAAGCGATGGACAAGAGTCGGATTTCTGATATTCAACTATTGGCAACCTGGCAGCTATCAAGGGGGTAATTAACTTTTTTTAAAAGTTAATTTTAAAAAATGTAGTCCTTAAACGGGGCTTAGGACAGCTTGACAACAAACCTAATTTTATTTCTGCTACAGAGAATTTGGAGATTAATCTTGCAAATGATCTCACCCCTCAAATGAGCTTGAATGTTTTCATTTTGAACAAACACTCTTTTTTTCTTTCGGGATTTGTTTTAATTGTTCTTCTGCTATTTTAATTGTATTCCTGGCAATGCTTACAGTCCTGACATGAGGTAATCAAGAAATCACAATCTCTGTGTCATTCTCCCTCCCTCTCTTTCTCTCTCACACACACATACAGAGAAAGAGAGAAAAATTGAGTGTTGTGCAGTAGTAATGGTGTTGGATTAGAATTGAGGAGACTCCAGTTTTAATTCCTCCTCAACCAAAGAATTTCACTGGGTGATTTTGGGCCAGTCACTCCCTCACAAATCCACCTATTTTATTACATTGTAAGGAAAAATAGGAGAGAATGTTGGGTACCACAGCCTTAAAACCCTGAATTAATGAGAGGTAGGATAAAAACCTTAAAAAGTTATGGACAGTCGCTTACTAAGATTGGGTTCATGCAACATGCTTAAGCAGGTTGGTTTCACATCTAGCAGACTCTCACAGTGTGATAAATTCAATTACTGATAACTTGGGTTAGTTTTTTTTTACTTCTGGGTGTGAATCCAAGCTGTTCGCTTATTGTTTAATGCAACATTTCTCAACCTCCCCTGCAACTTTAAGATGTGTAGACAGGATGCTGAGTGTGGAATTCTGGGAACTGAAATCCACACATCTTAAAGTTGCTGAATATCAGAAACACTGGTTTAATGTATGATATGGTTTCCCCCAAATGGACTCATTTATTAACCAAGACTCTAAAGTAAGTTATCAGGACCTTGGAGAGTTCACATTCCCACTTCTACCAAAAGGATTACTAAGAGAGAGGAAAAAATGGGCTTACTGGGCTAAATAATGCTCCAAACTAAATTACTAAAAGGAGCCCTGGTGGCGCAGTGGTTAGAATGCAGTATTGCAGGCTAACTCTGTCCACAATCTGGAGTTTGATCCTGACTGGTTCAAGGTTGATTTAGCCTTTCATTTTCCGAGGTCAGTAAAATGAGGACCCACATTGTTGGGTGCACTACACTGACTTTGCAAGTCACTTAGAGAGGGCTGTAAAGCACTGTGAAGCGGTATATAAGTCTAAGGACTGTTGCTATGGCTACTGGAAGAGCACTATCCATACATTCAGATGGAACTGACTGCATTCACCCACACCGTGCAAAGTTAAATGAACCCAATTGCGGTTTATTTAGAGTAACCCCATTGCCTGCTTGGAGCTCATCCCCCATTTGCATTTGTGTCGTATGTTAGATGAAAATGTGGTGAGCTCATTTGCGGCTCACGCACGTGCTGCACACATATAGCCCTCGACAATTTGGAGAGGGGAGAAATTGAACATCCCTGTTCAATAGAAAGCTATTATCTGCAATGTCCTTTTTAACATTGCTTACTTTCTGGGAGCTCACAATTATGGTCAGGTCTTGATTTGATTCATCACCCAAACTTTACCGTGGAGCTACCAGCCCTACATTAGCACTTCCAGGACTAAAGTGCTATTGAAAATGCTCTAATTACATGGCTCTTGGTTATGTCCAGAAAGCAAAGTATTTTGTCCTGAATGCACTCAGTGGTTGGCTGGAGGGGTGAAAAAGCCCCAGAACCTCTGAGTCATTTGTTGAGTAGCTTTCAATGGCTCTGCCCTGAGATTTGTTTTGGAAACTCTGACTAAATAATTGCCACACAAATGACAAAGAGGAAGGGTGGGAGGTGATGGAGAAAGGGCACCCTTTGGAAGAGAATCAAGACACAGCAGCATCTTGGGCCAAATCAAAGTGTAATCTTGGCTAACAGACAAACCAAGCTGGCGTCCGCTGTGATTACTCCTCAAATTATGACTATTCATTCACTCCTCTTGGCCACTGTTTCAACCTTTTAGACATGCCTGTGAAAGAGCCTTCCGTCCCTAAAAATCTTTAAATCAAACTGCCAGCCAGAATATGCAATACTAGACTAAAGGGCAAACATTATCTGATGTTTGTAAATCCCTTCCTTGTTAGTGATTTGGAATTCATAGGCCACAATCCTGCCCTGGAAGATGACAGCATTGTCCAAGGGAGGCCATCTGTTTATGCCATATAAGCAGTGGTAGGATTAAGCCGGTTTGCTTCGGCAGAACCGGTAGCTAATTTTTTTGTTGCCCAGGCTCAGAACGGACGTCCAGAAGTGGCATCCACACAGAGATCCGGTTGTTCACATATTTGAATTTAAATCCCACCACTCCTTCCTTCCTTCCTTCCTTCCTTCCTTCCTTCCTTCCTTCCTTCCTTCCTTCCTTCCTTCCTTCCTTCCTTCCTTCCTGTGGTGGGATTCAGCCAGTTTGCACCACTTTGGCACAACCGGTAGCTAATTTTTTTGTTGCCCAGGCCCAGAATGGATGTCCGGAAGCAGCATCCACACAGAGAACCGGTTGTTCACCTATCGGAATCCCACCACTGCATATAAGCACTCCGTAATAGAACCAGCCAGCCCAGGTTTCTATCTTCAGCCCCTGCAATGATGAATTTAAACTTTTGGAAAGAAAACACGGGTTATAATAATAATAATAGTAGTAGTAGTAGTAGTAGTAGTAGTAGTAGTAAAGTTGGAAGGGACCTTGGAGGTCATCCAGTCCAACCCCCTGCTCAGGCAGGAAACCCTACACCATTTCGGACAAATGGCTGTCCAGTCTCTTCTTAAAAACTTCCCTGCAGTTTGTTATTGGGGAGGGAGAAAAGATGCAAAAAAGAAAAGAAGTTTTGGAAGAAAAGATTGGTTTTTCCCCCTTTTGTCCTCAACCTGATCTACTCTCTGTATCAGCCCTTCCTGCCTGAGTGATTTCAGACAAAGAAAATGGAAAGGTTTTACTACTCAACATGGCCTACAGACCCACTCTCGTCCCCGCACAAGCCAAAATGATCATGTGGGCTTTTCCCCACAATACCTCCTGATCCTAGCCTGTAGATAAAACAACACTGGGAATGAAGCTGTTGGTCTAAACCAGGGATAGGCAACCTTGGCTCTTTTATGATTCGTGGACTTCAACTCCCAGAATTCCTGAGCCAGCATGGCTCAGCTTGGAAACCTCTTTCTTTCCCCTCAGGAATTCTGGGAGTTGAAGTCCACGAGTCATAAAAGAGCCAAGGTGGCCTACCCCTGGACTAAACAGCCAGTCAGGTTTGAAAGCTGTCCGTTCAAACAGTAGCTCTGCAACCCTCCGACCTCGTGCTGCACCAATCAGAGTGAAACATTTCTTGCCAAATTCACCAGCCAACATCTTTTCCAATTAGCAAAGATCACTGTTGTTTTTCTGTTACACGCACATACACACACAAGCATAATTCTCACTGGCTTTTTAATTTTTAGGCACTCTGAATGGGAAATGAAGGAGACCATAATGTGAAGCTCTCCAATGGCAGACACCTTCTTGGAACTGCTGAAAAGTGTGTGTTGTGAGGATGGATGTTCCATATCCATTTTGCACTCTGATTCAGGTGACCGCCCCCCCAGGGCCCAGATAAGCTTCCCTGTGGCTTTAATGACTCTCAGAAAGAGTGCTAACGACGAGATGACTGCAAGGAACACAAACCCTTCCATCCTCCATCATTCAAGTCAGAACTGAAGAAGCTTCTTCGACGAGAAGTGAAACGTTTTCAAGGAAAAACAAAGCGCAGTTGCCTTATGAAGGAATCACCTCTGGGCCAACCACGAGCTGGAGGACTGACAATCTCCACAGACAACTACTTGGGTGAGCCAATCTAGTCACAATTATACCTGTTAGAGTTAAATGTAAAAACCCAGCATTAAGCCCCATTTATATCCATCAATATGATATAATTATCCTATGGCTGAGCATAATATTATAGAAGCAGGAACTAAACAGCTAATGGCCCAAGGAAAGTACAGTATTTCAGCCAAAAAAATAATAATGCTTTTGATGGAAAACTGATTTGCTCTCTAATACATATACAAGAGCAAATTATTTTAAATTATATCAGTCGTCAAATAGCAGGAGTATCTGAGTTTCCTGTTTTTCTTAAAAAAAAAAAAAAAAAAGTATGTCTGGCAGCCGAAGAAATCCAGACTGGAAGAAGGAGATCTCCTTGGAATTATCGCCTGCCTCGGTCACTTTGACGGGTGTTTTGGACTTTCAGTAATTTTGTTCTTGGTGAGAAACAGACTCAAGGCAGCTGCTACTGTGCACTCTAATCATCATTTTGCAGATGAGATAGAAGTAGTCCTTGACTTACAACCACTTGTTTATCGCCCTATGACCCTTTTCCACACTGATGACCATTGTAGCATCCCCACAGTTAGTTATGTGATCAAAATCTGGATACTTGATAACTGGCTCATATTTATGACGGTTGCCATGTCCCAGGTCATGTGATCACCTTTGGCAACCGTCTAACATGCAAAGTCAATGGAGAAGCCAGATTCACTTAACAACCATGTTACTTAACAACCAACTTACAAATCCTGGGTCCACAGACTATCCTCATCTACAGAATCTGGGTAAACGTACATTCTATATATGTAGTAAAATGTATCATGACATCAGAAAGGACTGGAATAAGAGTAAGACCATTACCAAGTCCACAAAAGGCCACAAGGTAGAGCAAGTTTTGAAGTAATTCTTCATTAGAGTTTTTAACAGAAAAAAGGTAAATTAAGATAAGGGAGACAAAGAAACAGCATCTGCATGTAATTTTAATAATAAAACTGTTTCTAGCTTTCTATCTACGGATACAGATAGTCCTGTATGGCTTTCAGAAGTACAAAAACTGCTTTTGGAATCATTTTACCCAACAGGAATACTTGTGGGAAGGGTGTACATGTTTAAAAAGTTAAGATAGAGATTATAAACATGCAAACAAAGCTCTGTATCTTTTTAATATATTCCTTCAAGCGCGATGCATATTAAAAGTTGCTCTCAGTTCCTAAAATTGTTAGTCTGAAGCAACCAACAAATACGTCCTCCACTCAACTCCTTGCAATTTTAAAAATCAAAAAAATTAATTTGGAACTGTACTATTATTTATAACTGTATGTTTGTCTTCCTTATGGCAGTATTTCAAATTAACACTGGGTTTCCTTGTAACATTTGGTGAATAAAGGATGATAAACTGATTTTAAAAAAACCCTTATTTGGAAACACATTTGCCTGGGCTAAGAACTTTGATCAAACACGGTCATCTTGCTAATTGGTTGTGAAACAGCAAAACAGCAGTTCACAGAAATTTTAAATATGCACAGCATGAAAACGCTCAACCTTAAATGCCTGCAAGACCGTTGGCTTGCTGTCAGGAAAAAAAAAATATTGCTAGTTATCGCCCTCCATGAGTTTCTTACATGAAATTCAGTTCTACCACCTTCCGAAAAGGGAGTTACGCATTTATTTGTTTGTTTCTTTGTTTCTATCCCGCTTTAATTATTTTTTGCAAATAACGCAAAGTGGCAAACATATCCAACACACCTTCCTCTTGTTATTTTCCCTACAACAACAATCTTGTTAGGTGGGTTTTGTTGCAAGAGAGAGGGAAGGGTCCAAAGTCACCCAGCTGGCTTTCACGGCTTAAGGCAGGACTTGAACTCATGGTCTTCTGCTTTCAGGTCTGGTGCGTTAATCACTAAATCAGATTGGTTCAACCAGGGTTCAATTTTTTTATATGCTGACATATAACAGACAGAATCTTGCCGGACTAAATGCTTACTACTCTCACCCTAATGAATCTATCCTAGGGGGTGGCTATTTGAATCTTCTTTATCTCCTATCCATCTCTGGGCTGGTCTCTCTCTTGTCTCCCCCTCCCTCTTTCTAGAATATGTTCCCTCCTTTCTGGGAAACTGCCACCTCATTGTTGTCCTTCACACCAGCTCCCCCCACCCCCGCGGGCATCATCTCTCATAGAAACAGATGTACCACATTTTGATTACTTTTGTAAAACACAACATATCTTCTCCGTCTACAATGCTTAGTAATTGCTGTTGGGCATTTACCTTTCTCTTTGATCTTTCTGACTTCCTGGAAATATTCTTCACTTTTTTATGAAGGTGATATAAAACCTACAACGAGAAAGAACAAAAGAAACTGTTACCTCATTTCAGAAAATATCAGTTTTCCTCAGCCCATTGCTGGTGTTTGCAAGAGAACAACGAATCTTCTCCCTTAATTTGATCGGGCTTCAAATGAGATCATTGCAACCCCTTGCTTTTTTTTTTTTATAGCCTCTTGGGTGTTTTTAAGAAACGGCACTCCATAATAGCTATCTATATATTACTAGAACTCTTCTGTCTGTTTGTCTGTCTGTAACCTTCACCTGGGCAAAATGGAGCCTCATAGGGCAACCTTTTTTTTTTAAAAAAAAAAAAAAACAGGTCGCTGTAATGGGCTAATGTAGGGGAAGAAATAGCAGAACTTGGAGGGTGGAGTTGAAAGAGGGGTCATCCTAAAATGAGGGTGAAGGTTTGACCTCCGAGTTTGTGACCTTTTTCAGTATCTTTAGTGCTCTTTTCTCCTTCTGGCTCAATTTCGTTTTGTCTGTTGCACTGCACGTTGGAGATGATTCTTTGTCTGATGTCTTCTTGTGTTTCGTGGTCCGGATTGTATGTTTTTAGAATGGGTTTGAGACTGGCGAGGAATTCAGCATCTTTGCGGTTGAAATTGAGGCCGTGTGTGAGGACGGTCTTTTCACCATCAATCAATCAGAATACATTTGGAAGGGACATTGGAGGTCTTCCAGTCCAGCCCCCTGCTCAAGCAGGAGTCCCTATATCATTTCAGGCAAGTGGCTGTCCAGTCTCTTCTTAAAAACCTCCAGTGATGGAACTCCCACAACTTCTGAAGGCAAGCTGTTCCACTGGTTGATTATCCTCACTGTTTGGAAGTTTCTCCTTAATTCCAGGTTGCTTCTCTCCTTGAGTAGTTTTCATCCGTTGTTTCTTGTCCTGCCTTCTAGATAAAAGTCTGCTGGATAGATTTCTGATCCATAGTTTTGAATTGCCGTCTTGTGATTTTGGGGTGATGGTATTAGTTTCTGTTGTAGTGAGTTGCGTTTTTGGATTTGTATTTTGTTGGCATTCCTGTGGATTGTGCATTCTGAAGTGTCTGTCTGTCCTATGGAGTTGAGGCATATGGTTTTTTTGTTCATGTATAATGTGTTGGTGTTTTTCCATAAGCTCAGAGAATGAACTTCACCCTCATTCTATACCTGAGCTATCGATATTTCAAATCAACCTAGAATCTCTACATAGCCACAAATGAACTAACTTCAACCCCTCTTGAATTCTGTTGACCTTTATCTAATTTATAGCAGGTTGGTTAAGAATATTCTCGTGCATAGGCATGGATAACAGTAAATTAGTTTAATTGGACCTTCACACGTGGACCTGATCCATCGTGCCTGATACTAGCTTACATGTTCGAAATCCAGGCCCCATTTTGTGGGATTGAAATTTCAGGAATCTTCAGACCACTTCTACAGTACTGACAAAATTATGGCCGTTGAAGCACTACCACGCCACCCTGCAGCCCCGCCATGCCAATGTAGTCAGCCATGGTCATGGGATCATGATTTATGACACTCCCTGCCACCTTCCCACAAGCAAAATCATTGGGGAAGCCAGCAGGAAGTCAAAACTTGTTCCCATTGCGCCTCCTTTTTTGCCTGCTCATCATCATTCTGTTTATTGGTTTAGGTAAGGAAATATTTCTGAAACAATGAACAAACTGTTCATAGGTTGTCTGGAATATACATACTTTTCTTCTGTTCAGTCATGTCTGATTCTCACAGATTGCCTGGACTAGACCTGCAGTTTTCTTGGCAAGGTTTGTTGGAAGTGGTTGGCCATTGTATTCTTCCTAGAGCTGAAAGAAAGTGATTGACCCATGGTCTTATGGTCTCCTGGTTTTGTAGCCTGATGCTTTATCCATTACAGCAAACTACACAATATACTAAATGCTTAATTAAAATGCTAATTGTACAGGAGAAAGGAAGAGAAGGGAAGGGAAGGGAAATTTTGAAGCTGGGCAAATACAACCACTAAATCTTGGACCACATTAGTTCAACATTTTGTGTAAATCCATCTAACAAGTTGATGGCCGTCACCTTAGATCACTGTTCAGCTTCAGGGAAGTTACATCTGTCAAGAGCCACTAATCTTAATGGAATTGTTTTATCTCCTGTTTGAAAGGCATCGTATTTCTGTGACTCAGGGTTGACATAACATTGCGCTAATTAACCTGCATCTGTTTTGTTTATGCAAAGGGATGCTTCTCCCTACCTCCATTTGCAAAAGAGGCCTCTGCAGTGAAGTCTGGCCTTGAAAAGCAAAAGCAAAAAATAAAATAAAATTACTCTCTATTACTTCAAACTTAGCTCTATGTCACCTTTCTAAATGGTGTTTGTTAGGGCATTTTGCTGCTCGTTAAAATCATGGAAGTTTTTAAAAAGTAGGGTTGTTTGTGTATAAGTGAGAAAAAAGCAAGTTGATCTCTCTCTCTCTCTTTCTCTCTCTCTCTCTCCAGTGCTGACTCCCTCAACCTCCAATCTGCTATTTACATTTGAAGAAGCACAGTGAAAACATTAACTGCATTCAGGTAATTAATACCATTTAGGCCTAAATGATCCGTTGCTGAGAAGCAACCACAAGCAAAGAGATCTTGCCTGGGATTTGACGCTTGCAGATGGTAAAGGCTACTTAGTTAGGGGACCAGCCAAGAACCAGCTTGGTGTAAGGGTTAAAAGTGCTGGATTAGAACGTAGGAGGCCACAGGAGTTAGCCCTGCTTAAGCCCAGAAGCCAGCTGGGTGACTTTGGGCCACGCCCTCTTTCTTGGCCCTAGCCCCAACCTTTTGGGCACCAGGGACCGGTTCAGTGGTTTTTTCACGGATTGGAAGGGATGTGGTTTCGTGTGTTGCCTGCATCCCACAGATAGTAATAGTAGTAAAGTTGGAAGGGACCTTGGAGGTCATCTAGTCCAACCCCCTCCTCAGGCAATTAACCCTATACCATTTCGTACAAATGGCTGTCCAGTCTCTTCTTAAAAACTTCCAGTGTTGGAGCATTCACCGCTTCTGGAGGCAGGTGGTTCCACTGGTTAATTGTTCTCAGTGTCAGGAAATTCTTCCTTAGTTCCAGGTTGCTTCTCTCCTTGGTTAGTTTCCACCCGTTGCTTCTTGTCCTGCCCTCAGGTGCTTTGGAGAATAGCTTGATTCCCTCTTCTTTATGGCAGCCCCTGAGATATTGGAAGACTGCTATCATGTCCCCCCTCGTCCTTCTCTTCTTTAAACTAGACATACCCAATTCTAGCAACCGTCCCTTATATGTTTTAGCCTCCAGTCCCCTAATCAACTTTGTTGCTCTTCTCTGTGACTCTTTCTAGAGTCTCAACATCTTTTTTACATCGTGGTGACCAAAACTGGATGCAGGATTCCAAGTGTGGCCTTACCAAGGCATTGAAGAGTGGTATTAATACTTCACGTGATTAATGAGGCCTCCTTTGTTTGCATAGTTTTGGGCATGCTGCGGACCAGTGCTGGTCCACAGATTGGGGGTTGGGGACCCCTGTCCTAGGCAAACCAGCTTGGTCTAATGGTGAAGGCATCAAGCTAAGAAACTTTGTAGGAGATTGTATGCTCCAGTTCTGCCTTAGCCCTGAAAGCCGGTCGGTTGACTTGGGCCAATCACTAGGAGAAAGTGAGTTCATGAGAGCTTAGCCGTGAGAGCCAGCTGGCTGATTTTGGATCACTCTCTTTCTCTGTCTCAGCCCAACTCAACAAGCAGGATTGTTGTGAGGAAAATCGGAGGACGAAGGAGTATTAGATAGGTTCGCTGCCTTGAGTTGTTGATAAAAATAATGATGGTGGGATATAAATTAAATAAAGAAGTGAATAGAACCACCTCCGAGCTCTTACCAAGACAACTGCAGGGACTTGTCCATGCAGCTGATAGGAGTCAAGGAGCCCCATTGTTGTACTTAAGTTAAAATGATCCGAAAAAAACAGAAAGACAAAACATTTAAATGATGTTCAAATCCTGAAAGATTCCTGGGTCCAAGAATCCTAAAATCTTACATGAGTTTTCATCAATGTCCTTCTTTTTACCCACAATGCTTAGTGTTACATTTCTTAACATGCTGCACTAAATTCTTAGACATTGGTGACTTGATGGCCCATAACACCAAATAGTTGATCTGCAGGACCATCTTTCTCCTGTGTAAATGAGGACCACTGATCATTTTTTGTGCACTGTAATTCCAGACTTGTTCACCCACGCTCAACTGTTATTTATTTTTTACACAAGGTCACCAGTAGAATGGAAAAAGGATGGCTCCTTTTTTAAAAAAAAAAAAAAATTGAAATTGTAGACTTGTGAAAGGATGCTGCTGCTTTCTCCTTCCAGACATCAAGCTATTGCATATATGACTGGTTTCCCCCAATTTTATGTTTTTCTAAATGTTGATTTAGCATTTCTGGAAAATTTTACATCTTTACATCTTATTTTGAAATGGATATGTCATGCCTCAAATATTTAGTTTTGCAAGCTTCTTATTTTTTCAGTGCTACCTTTTCTGGACAGGGCAAAACCCCACACTAGCTAGCAGCAAAGAGAAAAGTTTGATTTTGTAGCCTAGATATGATACCTTTAGCAATACTACATATGGAGAATTTGCTTTTGTTTATGTCAATGTCCAGTGTCAATCCTGTCTTAAAAAGCTATTCCCAAACTTCAGCATGGAGACAACACTGCCCCTTGAAATGGCCTCTATTGTTGAACTTAAAGTAAGTAATCTTAAAAAAACAGAAAGACAAGACGTTTAAAAGATGTTAAAATCTTGAAAAAGTCTTGAAACCTTGTCCAAGAATCCTTTGCATGAGTTCTTATCAATGTCCTTCTTTTTACCCCAGTACTGTTTTTGGTGTGAAAGTTCTCTAAGTGACTTGAGAAACGATGTAGGTGACTACATGAAAATAATTTAAACAGGTGCCTGAGTGAGCCTGGATCTGGGTAAGATTTAGGAATCTAATTTAAGGTTAATTGACGTCTTTTTGATGGTTCTCTTGCGTTAACCACTCATTGGTCCTATTAAGTATGTTATAGGAATACAGCCGACATCAGCAGCATCAGTGGCCCTTGCCATATGCAACTTTTTTTCTCTGTTATTGTAAACACCAGTTGAGCATTTATTTTCAGGAGTTTGTAATTTACGTAAGATTGTCTAATTCTGTAGGCAATATTTTATCTATTTTTTTTAAAAAAAATCGGTAAAACTATTAAGAGGAGAAAAAGTGTATCCTGTTCTCTAACGAAATTTAGATTAACCTTTTGAAAACAGAGTTACTGCACTACTGTAACCAAGCAATGAATGTACTTAACCATTAAATCTCGGAGACTAAAGTACTTATGTCAGTTAATTAAAAGAAAATGCATCTATTAACGATAGCATTTGTTATCTCCCTTGCTGGCGGGCTGACTCAAAACTGTGACGCAGAAGGAAAACATTTGAATTCCTAAGTTACTACTGAGGCTGGAAGGAAATTGGAAGTTTACTGCATTTAGTTTAAGGCCCTCTGCTAAAGAAGGGTTCATAGAGGCCATTTTTCCTAAACCATCCCTTTCCTTTAGATACAGAGCCAACCCTGGCCTGGGAAAGCAAGGAGGGAAGGAATGATGTCGTATATGCCATAATGTCATCAAGCAAATGACACAAATCATGTCATTATGGAAACACATAATCCATACGATTGATGTAGTGTTATCATGATGCATCTGACATCACTGAAGCTATTACCAAATCAGGAGTGTTGGTGTTACAGTCTTGACCACTGAAAAACTGAGCTGATTTATTTCTGTCTCAGTGGCCATGTGATTGAATGCTCCAAAACTGATTTACTTTTTCTGTTTGAGGGGAAGGGGGGAGGTTTTCCACCTTGGTTTCCTGTTGGAGGGAACCCTTCCTTCCTTCTTCCCTTCCTCCTTCCCTCCCTCCCTTCTTCTCTCTCTTCTTTCTTTCCTTCCCTACTTCCTTCCTGCCTACCTGTCTCCCTTCTCCTTCCCATCTCCTTTCTTTCTCCCTCCCTCCCTTTATTCCTTCCTTCCTTCCTTTCTTTCTTCCTTCCTTTCTTTCTTTCTTCCTCCCTTCCTCCCTTCCTCCTTTCCCCTCTCTCTTCTTTCCTTCCTTCCTTCTTTCCTTCCTGCCTGCCTATCTCCCTTCTTCTTCCCATCTCCTTTCTTCCTCCCTCTCCCTTTATTCTTTCCTTCCTTCCTCCCTTCCTCCTTCCCTCCCTTCCTTCCTCTCTCTCTTCTTCCCTTCCTTCTTTCCTTCCTTCCTACCTGCCTGTCTCCCTTCTCCTTCCCATCTCCTTTCTCCCTCCCTTTATTCCTCCCTCCCTTTATTCCTCCCTCCCTCCCTTCCGTCCTTCCTTCCTTCCTTCCTTCTGGTTTATGAACTGCAGGTTCCATTAATGGAATACTGATTTGATAGCTTTGCAGACTTCCCTGCCCCCATGATCCAGATAAACCAACAGGTTAAAATTGATGGGAGTTTAAGACCAATGGTATCCTGGAACAAGGGGATACCAGGCACTTCCTGGAGAAAATGGACAGGAACTCCCATAAAGAAGACCTTTGACCTAGTTAACAACAGTGTGTGCTGTGTTACATTCAGAGATTTGATTGTTTGAACACACTTTGGAAACAGGCTTTACAGTTTGATGATCGCGAAATTGATTTATAAAGTAGTTAGGTGCTCTTGGGCTTATGGAGAAGATTGATAGAACAGCATGTTGCTTATTAGATTTACATTCAACCTTTCACCAAGAGGGAAGGACAATGCTTATATAGTCTACCCTGCCAATTTTCCTGAGTATTAGGAAGGACTGAGGCAGGAAGAGAAGCTGAAGCAAAGCCATCAACTGCAAAAGGAATGAGAGACAACCTTAATATGAAAGAATCATTAAGGAGACAGTTGGAGAAACAATTCCATAATCCAGAGGGAGAAGCAAAGGTGAGAAAGAAAGTCAAAATAACCCCACCTTGATTCTGCTAGTTTAAGAGAAGATAAACTTGAAGAACTTTTCAAGATTGGTATCAGCTCTTCAACGCTTGGCCAGGTCAAAAAACAGACATGGTAGGGAGGTAAGTGAGAAGTGGAGTAAGTTTAATGTCTTTTCCTTTCTTCTAGCACTGCTCTCCAAGCTTAGCAACTTTAAGACTTGTGGACTTCAACTCCCAGAATTCTGAACATCTGGCCAAGTTTGAAGACCCTTGTTCTAGCACAGTGGTTCTCAATCTTTTTAATGCCGTGACCCCCCAACCGGTCGTAAGTCGAGGACTATTCAACTGGTCATAAGTTGAGGACTACTCAACTGGTGCAGCACCGTTTGCAGACTGGGGCTTTTGGCGGGCTCAGCAGGGCAGAGACAGCCTGGACAATTCCTATTGGCTTTTGAAAGCCAATAGAATTAGACTCTATTCAAGAGAATCTATTCTATTGGCTTTCAAAAGCCAATAGAATAAAAGGGAGTAGCACAGCTAAGGAAAAAGAGGTGGAAAATGGCGGACTGCATTGTTTAGCGACCCCCGTGAAATGGTCGTTCGACCCCAAATGGGGTCCCGACCCACAGGTTGAGAACCACTGTTCTAGCACTAACAAATTTCTTAAGCAAGGAAGTATCCACTTTTCCTACATGATTCATACCAATAGACATTCATGGCATCTTAGTCTGGGAAAGAGCAGGTGCCAGTATCAAGAAGAGAAACTCCCTCTCCATGAGTGGCTACTTATGTTGCTTAGAAAACGGCTTACAACCATTTGCAAAGAAATAAGTTCCACTTTTTAGAGAAAATGAGGCCTCTATCAAGAACTATTGGAACTGTGTCAAGTAAACATCTGTATTAGCCTAAAACAACCCATTCCCACAAATTAAATATTAACCTTGATCACAAGAAGAAGAAGAAAATCAATTAGAGGGAATTAGAGTAAAATGAGAAGGACGGGTTTGCATTTCATCAAATGATAATCACATGAACAAATAGCATTATTTCCATCATCTGCTTATCATCTGGGTATGTTCAGATTTTCTTTCCCCAGGTTTCCAAATGTTAAAAATTGTTTCTTGGATAATATGATTCTGGATTTTAAAACTAAGAAGGGGTCTCTTTTGCTCTTTCTGGCTTTAATTCTGTTACTTTGGTGTGTATGTATGGGCGTAGATGTAAGAAGAAATCATAGTGGTGAAATTCTGGCAAGACATTTAGGAAAGGAAAGATGGAATTTAGATTCAGAAGCTGCCTGTCTGTTACCAAGGTCAGTTTAGACTTGTGAATTTGTCTAGTTTTCAGCACAAACCTAGCAAGACCATTGGAGTGAGGTGAGTGTGTAGCTCAGCGGTAGAATAGATTTCATATCATGTGGAAATTCCCAGATTCAGTGGATATGAAACCCCCAGACTGTCATCTATCATTCATATGCATAGATGAATGGCCTATGTTAATGATTAGATTTGTACATCATACTATACCCAAGTTTAGTTTAAACAGTGTTGGAAATAACCACTTTGGCTGGGGCTACACAGTACACTAAGCTATATGTTTACAATCCACAAGAGGTGAGATGCACTCAATTCAAGCCCAATGTTATGAGTAATGATCTGGCTTAGCTTAAGGTATGACCCGACCTGAAAGAAGAGCAAGAAAGATTATCAGGGGGCTGGAGGCTAAAATATATAAAGAACAGCTGCTGGAATTGGGTATATCTAGTTTAATGAAAAGATGGACTAGGAATGATATGATAGCACTGTTCCAATATCTCAGGGGTTGCCACAGAGAAGAGGGAGTCAAGCTATTGTCCAAAGCACCTTAGGGCAGGACAAGAAGCAATGGATGGAAAATAAGGAGAAGCAACCTAGAACTAATAAGAAATTTTCTAACAGTGAGAACAATTAACCAGTGGAATAGCTTGCCTTCAGAAGTTGTGGGTGCTCCAAGATTGGAGGTTTTTAAGAAGAGATTGGACAACCATTTGCCTGAAATGGTATAGGGCTTCCTGCCTGAGCAGAAGGTTAGACTGAAAGACCTCCAATGTCCCTTCCATCTCTGTTATTCTATTCTATTCTAAAGTGATTTGACGGTGGGCTTCTTGTGTCAAATGACCAGAGGATTTAACTCATCCTTGCTTTCCTCTTAGTTCAAGTCATGTATGGATGCTCAGGTATCAATTAATGACAAGAGAGTATCTTATGTGCATGCCTGGGAGAAGTATACCATTGTGCTCCAAATCTTTCTCTAGCAAACAAAGAACTCCTGGAATTGAGCCGGGCTGGCTTAAACTGAGAGCCTGGCTGTGCCAACTTGAAAATGCCTACCTCCCATCTCCATCCCCTCTTGCCCCATTGGTACCCACCTTGGTGTAGCAGCATGTGATGAGCACCAGAGGTAGCAGATAACCCACCACGAAGATGGTCACCTTGTATATCTGCTTGGCTCCTGGATTGCCAGGCCAGTGTTCCCAGCAGAAGGAGCTGTTGGGTGCCTGCTGGTGCCCGCTTAAAAGTTCCTGGTGCTCAGCCACCGGGATGGCAAAGAGGAGAGAGAGGAACCAGATGGCGCCCACCCCAAGAGTGGCATTACGTTTGCTCCGAATGCACAGGGAGCGCTTGGCGTGCACCACAGCAATGTACCGGTCCACTGACATGGCCACCAAGGTGAAGATGCTGACAAGCATGGTGGCCATGACGAGATAGTGCACCCACTTACAGAAAAAGGCTCCAAAGATCCACTCTGGCAGGGAGTAGATGGTGGCCTGGAATGGGACACAGAAGAGAAGGAAGGAGAAGTCTGCAATGCTCAAGTTGAGGATGAAAATGTTGGTGGCACTGCGGGATGGGCGTCCACCTGGTGGGAGACGGCCAAGCACCACCAGCACCAGTGTGTTCCCCACCATCCCCAGTAGAAAGATCAGTCCAAACAGCACGGGGATAATCACTGTCTCTGGTCCAGCTCCCGTCATGCTTGGCCAACAAGTAGAAGCATTGGCTTGCTTGAAAACCATATCAGTGGTGCAAAAGGTGACATTGGTGGCTACCTCCTCCATAGGGGCTCTCTCCAGGGGAGGTGGCCCCACTTTGGGGGGATGTTTCCAGGAAAACAATGGACCTGTATGTTTCGCCTACAAATTGTGAAAGTTGTTGATCCAAGCTTCTCCACCCACCCACCCCCTGGATGGAGATCTGATGGGTTCTATATGCTGGCTCTGTCTTGAAAGATCTTCTCCATGGTGATCAGTAGAAGCATTTCATTCAAACGTTCCCAGCAACTGAGTAGGCATCTTGAAGACTTGCTTTCCTCTGGTTGTTGCCAAGATCCATCAACTGGAGTCTCTCTGTTGATCAAGCCTTGGAGATAGAGAGAGGGCTGCTTTAAGCTGCTTCCAGCAATGCTGCCGAGAAAGCTTGTGAGCTGGGCTGAGAGCAGCTGGCTGAGATTTCCAGCTCCTCCTTTTTTCACTCTCTAGCTTGAGGGGGGGGAGACGGCTTTTTCTAAGCAAACACAACACATGAGTTTTCACACAAGATGCTTGAAAGCCTTGTTTTCTCCCCGTGCTTCCGGGTCTCTGGTGCAAATCAAAACCCACTGCTAAAACTTTGTTCTGCCCTGCCATATGCATCCTTTAAAATAGATTAAAATAATAGAGTGGGAAGGGACATTGGAGGTCTTCTAGTCCAACCCCCTGCACAGGCAGGAAACTCTATACCCTTTCAGACAAATGGTTGTCCAATCTCTTCTTAAAAACTTCCAGTGTTGAAGCATTCACAACTTCTGGAGGCAAGTCGTTCCACTGCTTAATTGTTCTAACTGTCAGGAAATTTCTTCTTAGTTCTAGGTTGCTTCTCTCCTTGGTGAGTTTCCATCCGTTACTTCTTCTCCTGCCCCAACCTGTTTATTTAGTGGAGCTCAAGAAGGGTGGGTTGCCCAGGATCTGAATGCCTTGATCCTGTGACTGGATTCACACATTAAGCCAAATGTGGTTTAAATGACCTTGGATTGGTGTGCAGTTACAATTCAATGGTCACTTTTGGAAGGGGGGGGGGGAAAGGACTACCCTGGAATCTGCGGGAGGCTCGCCTCACTCTAGGGATGTGCTCCTCTAGGTTAAGACGTATAAACTGACGATCCCCAATGCTCCTGTCCAGTCTGCTTGATGGTTTTATAAAGCTGGAGGCTGCTAACAAGGAAGTTGATATGGAGGAACAACACAGTCCCCTTAGCTGGATACTGGAGAAAAATATTTCAGCTAGTGGAGTATAAAAGCCTTTCTCCTTCATCTAGTAGGCAAGAAGTGTTTGCAAGCTGGCACATGGAATAATGAGTGTACTGCCAGAGAAAGATGCCACCTTAAGGAAAAGCTTTATGTCTCAGCTTACTGCGATCCTCAGTCTGTATTTATTCATAAGTTGGCATTGTACAGGTCTTCTGTGTCCCAAGAGCTCTCTCTTTTTTTTCCTAAGCAGAAAGTCTGAAATGATGGCAAGATACTGGTAGTTTTTCTCCTGAGTGGTGGTGAATGGGGGGGGTTAACGGTCCCCCCACTCTTTGCCATCAAGTCTTGGGAAATAAACTTTGTGCAATGATGGCTCAATCTGTTTATTCTGCTAGGACAGAAAAGGGGGGTGGGCATCTGCTGACAATATTTTCCACCTGATGCTAAACTTAGCTGAAACCGTGGGCTCTAATTCAGTTTGCAAGGAGGGGATAAACAGTCTGAAAATATGCAAACCTCCAAACAGAACTGTAGCTATGGGGAGCTAACAACTGCGTTCTGTGCAGGTTTGTGACCTATTGTAGCCAATAGAGGCCAGGGCCTTTTCTTCCTTTATTGTCCACCAAAAGAGCTCCTGGAGCTGGAATGGGACAATTTACCACAGCCAACTCATCATGGCCAACTTGCTGTGGGACAATTCAACTTAATTTTAAAATCCGTAATTATTTCAGTTTTTGTCATTCACATTTCACTTTGTTCCTCCTTTTGCACCCTTTCTTTCATGATTCTCTTCTACTATTTCTTTGATATTAGTGTAACTCTTATCCTGCACCGGGTTGTCCCACGGCACGTTGGCTGTGGTGAGTTGCCATGGTGAAAGAGCATCTCCAAAAAAAAAAACCCAACCCAACAACAACCAAACAAACAGATGTAGCCTGAGAAGATAAAGATGTGTTACTCTTCTAGGTTTCATCCTGTGTCTTTATGCATGCTTTTCTTCCTAGTGTAAAGAGGATGGCCAGATATTTCTGGATTGTGGCCAAGAAAGCAACAGGGTAGTCTTGGGAGGGAAGTTCAAGACTAGGAAGGTTTGTCTTATGTAGTCCACTTGCAGGGGGTAGCAAGAGATAAATGCTTTCAATGAAATAAAGCTTCCTGAAATCATATAGAGCAGTGGTGGCGAACCTATGGCACGGGTGCCAGAGGCGGCACTCAGAGCCCTTTCTGTGGGCACGCATGCTGTTGCCCCAGTCTGAGGCCTTCAGCTGAGTTTTATAAAACCTTTTCGCTTTAGGCCTCCACTGCCGTGTGCAAAAAAAAAAAAAAAAAGGTTCAATCAGTCAATTTCAACTTCTCGCGGGAAAAAAAATCTTGCAAAGTTGGAATTGATTGATTGAACTTTTTAGTCCCACCCAGTCTGCCGTTACCACCGCAGCCACGCCCAGCCAATGGGCCATGCCCACCCGGCACATGACAATACATAAGTGGGTTTTGGGTTACAGTTTGGGCACTCGGTCTCTAAAAGGTTCGCCATCACTGATATAGAGCATTAAGCTGCTCTCAATCATTAGTCATCTCTGATCCAGACATTATATAGTTGAAACGGATCACCAGTCAGTGCTGGGACAAGAGACAGGCAGTTTAATAGCAATAGCACTTACAATAATACACTGTTTCACAGTGCTTTACAGCCTTCTCTAAGCAGTTTACAGAGTCAGCATGTTGCCCCCAACAATCTGGGTTCTCATTTTACTGACCTCAGAAGGATCGTGGAAGGCTGCGTCAACCTTGAGTCTGTCAGGATTGAACTAGAGTGAGCAGTGAGTTAGCCTGCAATACTGTCTTCTAACCACTGCGTCACCAGGGCTCTTATCCCAACTGTTTTGGGATAATCATGAGCCAATCTCCTCAACCGTGGTTAGCAGTGTTGTGTATGCAGATCTCAAAATTCAGCTGACCCAAGGAAAAAAAAATGGAGATGTAGATTGGCCAAAATGCGGGGTGGGGGGTGGAAGGCTTGGCCAGACAGGACATCCCTTCTAAACATTTATTTTGTCAGGCACAATGTTGATCCACCTTCTCCTCAAAAAAATTGTTCAGGAAATCAGAGGACAAGAAATCTGGAAGCCAAAGTGCACACATGAACTCACACATGTGATACACCTATCAACAAAGCAACAGCAGAGACATTGAAATCTGTAATATAGAAAAAAGATGAAAATGGCAGATTCTTATCTTCATATTGCTTGATATTTTTTGTTTGCATTGATTACTGATGCACTGTGTGGCATGGGAATAACTTTTGGAACAGCAGTTGGTAGCTGGTAGCCATGAAATAATATACAGTTTATCTCCCTGGACAATTTTGTGGAGATGGCTGAAAAAAAAATGCTACGGGAAAATCTACTTAAGCTCTCCAGCATCTCTACCATTAGTCCCGATTACTGGGATAACTTTGCTTTGTTCCAGGAGTCATCTAACCATTTTAGCTTGCATTTCATGTCTAGTCCTCCACCAGAAGATGGAGTTCCCGTAGCAGATCAACAGAAAACAAACTCCAAGAGAATTATTGAAAAAGAATAGATTTAAATAAGAGAAACTTGGGGTACCTGAATAGTAAATATATAAGTAAGTTTAAATTTTAACATTTGAAAAATTAATAAAGTGTACAACAGGATTTTTGGGATGAGATAATGAGCTCTTCTAAACGTTTATTGATTAATGAAATTCATATGCAGCAATATAAATGAAAATTTGTTTTAGAAATGTATTAAGCAGATTATAATATATCTTAAATAAATGGAGAGTTTCAGTTTAAGTTTAAATATGTGAGAAATTATAGATTTGTATAGAACAGACATTGAGCGGTTGAAAGTTTTGATTGATTAAGAGAATTTATATTTAGATATATTAATGAATGATTTTATTCGAATCCATTTGATTATAATATTATAGATAGATAGAGAGGGAAATTTTAAGAAATATTGTATGAACTGTATATTGATAATGCTATTGTTTTTTTTTTTTAATTGATCACCATATCTTCACGTTGGCTCTTAAGCTTCTGTTAGTACAAAATGGAAAACTAATAAAAATTGTTTTTTAAAAAAGAAAACAAACTCCAAGTAATTTTAAGCTGCAAGTGCTTGACTCACCCAACAAGCTGATTGACACAATATTCAGGGCAGACAAAACAAAATTCCAGGCTGTTTTGCCCTGAGGAGATGGTCTGTAGGGAGCAATTGTAATCTTGGTCCACAAAGGCTTTCAGAAGAGATCCCTGAAAAGGGAAATAATTGTCCTCTTAATTCCACTTCACACCTTTGCCTTTTTTTTCTACACTACCTTTCAACAAAGCTTCCTGTGTAGTTTATAATAAAACAGCTCCTTAACATTAATCACCCGAAGGTTAAGGGGACAAAGTCCGGATTTTGTCAAGGACATCACACAGCTCTTTGACAGAACATCAAGGCAGGTTTTTTTGGGTGGGTCAACCTACAGTTTCCAAAACAAATGTCAATTAGAGAGTTACACACCTCTGCAAGAGTCTTTTAGATATTATTTATATGCCTGAGTGCCTGAGTGCCAAGAGCTTTTGTTTCTGCAAAGCTTTTCTTCCTTTCCCTGAATTTGATTATGGGCTTTGCAAAGTAGCATCAGGCTTGCTCAAATACCTGTTAAAATCACAGGGCTTGAGTGAAGAAGCGACTTGGAGTATAGTTGTTGGGGAGATGGGGAAACGGTCAGGTGGATTCTCCTGGCAGAAGGTCAATTTTCAGAAGGCTCCAGAAGAAGATATGTAGAAACTAGGATAGGGTAGGGTAGGGTAGGGTAGGGTAGAGTAGAGTAGAGTAGAGTAGAGTAGAATAGAATAGAATAGAATAGAATAGAATAGAATAGAATAGAATAGAATAGAATAGAATAGAATAGAATAGAAGTAGGTGTAGTGTAGGTGTAGGTGTAGGTACAGGTACAGGTAAAGATATAGGTATAGGGATAGAATATAGGGATAGAATAAATGTAGATATAGGTATAGAATAGGTATAGGTATAGATATAGGTATAGAATAGAATATAGGAATAGAATAGAATAGAATAGAATAGAATAGAATAGAATAGAATAGAATAGAATAGAATAGAATAGAATAGAATAGAATAGAAAAT